GAGACACAGTCCTGAGGAAGAGCCTTCTCACCGGCCTATCTCTATACCCTCTCCTGTTTCATTTTTTAAAAAATGATTTTGTTTTAGTTATATTTAGAGAAAGGAGAAGGGAGGGAGAGAAGCATCAGTGTGTGGTTGCCTCTCACGCACCCCCTACTGGGGACCTCACCTGCAGCCCAGGCATGTGCCCTGACTGGGAATCGAACGGGCGACCGTTTGGTTTGCAGGTGGGCACTCGCTCCACTGAGCCACACCAGCCAGGGCTCCCATTTCATTTCCCCTGGGCAACAAGTCAAGCTTCTACCGGGATGGACCCTGCAGTCCAGGATGGAGAGACTCAGGCCTGTGTGTGTGTACACCATCCGCCGTCTCTAGCCAGGCTGTCAGGACAGATGATGAGTCGGAGGAGGAGGAATACGTGAGACCTACAGCCCACCAGACCTCGGTGGGGGGCGGTGAATGCCGCTCTCTCCAAAGATGTGGCTGGACCTGCGGTGACCACGTTCTCTGGTGGAGCTGTTCTTGGGTCATAACCCATCAGAAAAAATAAAGAAGACAGATCAAGTGACTGGCAGTGAGGCTGCCATCATGGTAATTCTGCTAGGAAAAGACGTCTGAAACCCAGGTGCTGTCCGTCTTCACCATCCTTTGTGAAGGGGAGGACCCTTCTGCGCCCCTGCGCTCACTCCCCATCAAGGGGCCGCTTGGCAAGGAGCAGATACTCAGAATGAGCGGTAGCCTTTTGCACTGAATACCTTTGGGTTTATCGGAGAAAAGTTTACTGAGTTTTCCTCGTGTTTCTGTCACCCAAAGGTGGGGGGACGTCCGCCACAGACCTGTCAGATTGAGGTGTGTGCCCCGGGGACCTGCTCCAGCTGTCAGGCAGGGAGGAAGTAAACCACGGAACGCCGTGTCCACGTGGTTTTTCACGCACTTCCCCGCGTGAGCTTCCTGGCGCTGCTGTAGCAGAAACCCACCACCTCGGGGACTCCAGGCAGCACAGATGTGCAGACTCGCAGTCCCGGCGTCCAGGAGCCCTGAGCTCAAGGTGCGGGCAGGGCGGGTGCCCTCTGGCGGCTCCAGGGCCGAGTCCCGGACCTCGCCTTCGCCAGCCTCCGGGGGGCCCACGTCCCTCGGCTCACAGCCTGTCCTGGCTCCCTGTGACTTCGGCCGCTGCCCTCCCATCTCCTCTCCGACTCTGACCCCCGTCTCTTCTCATGAGGAGCCTCGTGACTACGCTGGGCCCACACGGGCAACTTAGGGTTACTAGTGCCCCCATCTTAGGACCTTGACCTGATGGCACCTGCCTGTCAAGTGCCATCGTTCCAGCATTGTCTGGGGTTCGGTTGCGGGTGACTCTGGGGGCTGCGGTTCTGTCTACCTCCCTTCCTCCCTCCTGCTCCCTCATTTAATATTCTCACGATGAGTCTTTGATTTTGGTTTTGATGTAGGGGTGCTTAGGCAGCGCCTGTAAGAGGGACCGAGGGCTGGGGGCTGGGCAGCCATTGGCCCCCTCAGCTCTGCTGTGTCCTTTGGGGCTGTGTGCATGCCCTCCGGAGGCCCTCGCTCCCTTCACCCGTGAAGTCAGGGTCTTTAAAGCTCATTTCATTGTGAAATTTGAAGTCCACGGTCACGGCGGAGATGCCCTCCCCTGCATTTGCCCGCCTGCTTCAGGGAGGGAGAGGCCGGAGCTGGAGGGCTGTCTGGTGTGTTTGCCTTACGAGCCTCGAGGGCCTGAGTGCGTTTGCAGTGGGCGTGTTTGCGCTGTTATTTTTTATCGGTTTTGACGTGTTTAATTTTTCCACATCTGTAACAGAGCTGGTACGCTGGCAGGGAGGCTGGTAGCAACTGTGAGGGACGCATTCACGGTTCTCCAGGGCCTGGGAATACGGGCGTGCCGAACCGGGGGCGGCCAGCGTGTGCTCGCAGCTCCCAGAGCCTCCTGCCGCCAGTTCGTGCTAATGGTTCCCCCTAAAATGCGACATAAACTTAAATGACTGCTAATGACCATTTAGGTTAGTTGAGGTCATTAAATTTTTGTGAAAATACAGGAAAACACTTGGGAAAGTGGATTTTTCTAACTACGGCTGTTGACGTGTTAGGACCCTGCGAACACAGGACAGTGTGCTCGCCCTGGCATCTTCGGGTTTCTGGTGGCCGTAGGCGTCCTCACGGCTGTACAGACAGGGCGTCCCGACCGCCACCCGAGCCTTTGCCTTCTGAGAGTTCCCCGTCTGCCCCCGCTGCGTCGAGTTGCCAGGTCCGTCAGCAGCGCTGTCTTGAGACACGAAAAGCACACACAGTCCCATGAGGTGCAGGTATCAGCAGCACCTCTTGCAGACGGGGGTGGGGACCACAGAGAGGGTGGGTCGTGTGCCGAGGTCACCAGGGCTTCACGGGTGGAGGCGTTTCCCTGCACACTGTCCCTGAATGAGACACCAGGGAGGCTTCTGGGGCCGGGCGTCCAGGCTGCCATCCCAGTTGGGGGCTCAGTCCCAGAGCCGGCAGCGGGCAGTGGGGGTGCTCCGGTGCTGCAGATGCTGAGGAAGGGGGTCGGCAGAGCCCACGTACCTGGGCGTGGCTTTCCGGAAGAGGTGGTACTCGGGGCGGACGGGCCACGTGGCGAGGGGAGGATGCGCCAGTGCAGGCAGGTGTGGGGTGAGCTGGCTTCTTTCTTTCAGGATGAAGCAGGACCAGGGCCTAGGAGTGTGTGGCGAGAGGGAAGGTCAGGGGTAAGGTGAGGGGGCCGGACGGCCCACCATGGTTGTCAGGAGAGTTGGCACATGATGTGATCAAGGAGAATTTTAGAGATGGGCGTGGCAAAGGTGCCCCTTCAGGGTGGCCTTGTCTGGCAGGATGTTGAGGATGGATGGACAGAAATTGATGAGGCATTGGGAGGTGAGTTTTCTGTAGAACATGAGATCATTTTGGGTGGACTCCTTCGGGAAGGAGCAACATCACTGTATCTCTGTAGTTTTTTTTTTTTACAAATTGAGAATAGGCTAATTAAACAATTTGGGGGCTCCGACACTTTCTAAAGTGACAATTACTTTACCTATCATGTTTGAGCAGAGTGTGGTCTGAATTTGATGGCGTCCCTTGGCTAGGCGCCGACCTAGGACGAGTGGAAACGAACGGATTTATGTCAGGGTAGGACTGGGGATTTCAGAGGCTTGTCGGGGGTTGCCAGCGTTAAGGATTTCTTCTTAATGCCGGACGCATTTTTGCCTATTTGATTCTAACGGCTTTTTGGCTTAATGTCAGCAGCATTGCTTATATGATTTTTTAAGACGTTAGTTTTATGTACTTATTGTATTTGTCCGATCACCATTTATGCTGCTTATCCCCCCGCCCACTGCGGTCGCCACCCTGTCCTCCATGTCCTCGAGTCCCGTTTCCATTTTGCTTGGTCCCTCCACCTCCTACCCCGCCCTCCGCCATAGCTGTCCTCCTCCTCTCTCTGAGTTTCTCTCTGTTCTGCTGGTTAGTTCAGTTTGTTCATTAGATTCCACGTGCGAGTGAGGTCATACAGTACTTGTCCTTCTCTGACTGGCTTGTTTGACGTAGCGCAGTTTTCTTCAGGTCCATCCATACTGTCACAAAGGGTAAAATTTTCTTCTTTTTTATGGCTGAGTAGAATTCCATTGTGTAAATGTCCCATAGTTGTTTTATCCACTCATTTACTGATGGGCACTTGGGCTGCTTCGAGATCCTGGTGATTGTAAATAACGCTGCAATAGACATAGGGGTGCTTATGTTCTTTTGAATTAGTGTTTTGGAATTCTTCAGATATATTCCCAGAAGTGGGATTGCTGGATTGAAAGGCAGACCCATTTTTAATTTTTTTGAGGCTTCACCAGACCGCTTTCCACAGTGTCCGCACCAGTCTGCAGTCCCACCAGCGGTGACTAGGGCCCCCCTTTCTCCACAGCCTCGCCAGCACTTGCTGTTTGTTGATTTATTGATGACGGCCATTCTGACCAGTGTGAGGTGATACCTCACGGGTTTTAATTTGCATCTCTCTGCTGGTTAGTGGTGTTGAACATCATTTCATGTTTGCCGGCCGCCTGTGTGTCCTCCTTGGAGAAGTGTCTGTTCAGACCCTTGCCTATTTTTTAATTGGATTATTTGTTTTTCTGGTGTTGAGTTTTATAAGTTCTTTATAAATTTTGGATATTAACCCCTTATCGGATGTATTGGCAAATATGTTCTCCTATTCAATGGATTGTCTTTTTATTTTTTAAAAACTAGTTTGGTTTCCTAAAAGTTTTCAGTCCATGTGTGATTGATTCATTGTTAGGAAGAAGTCATCTAATGGAAAAAGTCTATTAATGAGAATATAAGATAGTATATGAAGTGACAATTAAAATGTTAACAGTATCCTCAGTTTTCTTCCTATTATGTGTTATTAAGCCACAAAAAGAATACAGTCCTAAAATCAGGTACAACGTATATAAACCTTGAAAACGTTAAGCAAAGTGGGAGAAGCCAGACACAAAGTGCCAATATTGTGATCCCATTGATATCAGGTGGCTGGAGCCGTCCAATCCAGAGAGACAGGAAGTCGGCTGGGTTGTCAGGGGCTGGGGGTGGGACCCGTGGGCAGTGGTTGCTTAGTGGGTCGCCGGGGTTTCCGTTTGGAGGGATGAGGCAGTTTTGGAAATTGACAGTCGTGCTGGTAGCACAGCGTTTGACTGTGACCAGTGCCACGGGATCGTGCATTTAAAAACGGTTCGGAGGCAGATTACACATCACATGTCCTTTACCACAGTAAAAAAATCATTTTCGGTTGTCTGGTCTCATGAGTCGCTATAAACGTCTTCTATTTAAATGGCGATGCTTTGTATTTGTCTCTCGAAAGAAAAGGCCGCTTTCGTGAGCGTCAGAGAAAGTGGTCCGGGCAGAGACAATGCATTTTAACATTGGAAACAGCCCGGAACCAGCAGCATCGGGCCCTCTGCCTCCACTGACCTCCGCTCACCACCTTCTCTCCTTCGCAGCTTTTTACAACTACGACGCCCGCGGCGTGGACGAGCTCTCCTTACAGATCGGGGACACCGTGCACATCCTGGAAACATACGAAGGTGCGTATACTTTCCGGTGTCTCTTCTCCTGTCGTTTTGGGCAGTGAGCACGCCTTTCCGTGCCCAGTGGGCAAAGCATTCCGTGGTTAAGAGAGCAGGTCCACGCATGTGCCCTTCTCCTGGGATGGGTCTCCTGCCTGATGGAGGCCCTTTCCCGTGAGGACAGGAGGGAAGCTATCCGTTATTTAACGAAGGCTTTATTAAGATGAACTTCTTCACCCCCAAAATTCATTTTCTTAGCCTCTAAGACTTTCTGTTGGAGAAGCTGTTTTCATTTAAAAAAACCTCATTGGTTCCTTTTTTTGCAAGTGTATGCAAATCCTGACTGTTAATAACTGATTCCTTGGGAAAAAATTTGAAAGTGCGTTTAAGATATTCCAGTAGAAGTCACTGTTTTGAGGTGGGTGGTGGGAATGGTGAGACCTTTCACCTCTCACTTCTGTTTGTTAATAACATACATTCTTGGAGTGTCCGAAAGTGTCAGTTCTTACTTCCTTTTCTGTTTTCGATCTGTGGCCCCATTTTCCTAGGAGGGAACAGCATCGGTCCCCGCCCTGGGGGACGTGCTACAGGGAAGCCGTTGTTACAGTTACCCAGCAAAGTACACAGTGGCTTCCCGGGGTCCTCGGTGCCCGGCCAGCCGCCGTCTCGCAGACTGTGCGACCGGGCCACCCTGTGGTGCTGGCTCCGGTGGTCGCCGCCCAGAGGAGGCGCAGTGACAGCCTTGGGCTTTATTCTCCTCCCTTCCAGGAGTTTCTGTACGGTGGAGTTTTAGTGTTTGGTGGCTTGACCTCCTGCTTGAAGGGATGGCTCCTATATAGCCTAGGAATAAAAGGAAGCAATTAAAACCGATGATTACAGCAACCAAATTGCTTTTAGATTGGGTTTAGCCAAACCCTTCCAAGTGGGAGGAGGGGTGGAGAGGACCCGCAGGCGCCCCGTCACCGGCCCCGCGCCGAACCTCAGACTCGGTCCCTGAAATCCACTCAGCACGCGCAGAAGCCTCGCCCTGCCTTCCTGCTGGAGGCCAGCTCCGACCGGCCCCGGGTCCTCCCAGACTCCAGTGACAGGTGCCGACCTGGTCACATAACCCACGTTCCTGTCCCTCGTTTCTCCACGGGACCCACGCTGACTTGGAATTCCATTCCACGAGCAGCCTTTACCCTGCAAAAGTTCTATTGGAAATAGAAAAAGGCTTTCACAGGTCCTAGGGAGCCCGGCCTGGAGCGAATGGGGAGGGTGGCGGGTGCCTTATGCCTGTCCACAGTTCTACTGAGGACCGGCCGGTGGCCTCATCCGCTCTACACACTATATCTTGCCAGTGGCTGAGAGGAAACAGAGAGACATTAAGTGGAGGTCAAGGATCAAACCTCTCATCTCAGACAGTCTTCGGACCCGAAGGGGAAAATGCTCCTTCATCTTCTTTATTTCTGCCCCTGGGTCAGCCGACCCCGGAACCCCGGTTAATAGACGCTGAGCACTGACATCATTTCTGAATGGATAACATTTCCTGTGTGGCCTGGGTGTGTATGGCCTGCCACTTCTTGTCCTTCTCTGTCCTTCACTGTCGAAGAAGAATGTCCTTGTCAAAGCTGTGGGACCCTCGAATGGGTAGTGACCTCTCTATCATGCATTTAACCTTCAAGGAGAAACCCAGAGAGCAGACACTTGACTTTTTGGCCGGCGTCCTGAGAAAGGACCCTTCAGTGAGCCTGGATGTGGTGGGCTAGTCGGTCTTCCCAATTTTATTTAAATTTGCAAAGACTTTGATGACAAATGAAATCTACTTATTTGGAAACTGTTTTTTGGTTTGAATCAGAACCAGGTCAGAGAAATAGGTCTGGGGGAATAGTTTGCGCTTTGGGAGACTTAGTGATTTAATTACCATCAAATATAAATGGAATAATAGTTTTTCTAGTCTTTCTGCTTCTGTTCTATTTCAGCTTCACGGATTGATGGACATGGACAAAAGGGGGGATCACCAGAGGGAGTGAGGGGTGATGGGCGGAGGGGGGCAAAAGGGGAAAGGAAACTTGGGGCAACCATAATAGCATAATGAATAAAAATAAAATAAAAAAGAAGAAAAACTAAATCTCATACTGTATTAGAGTTTGGCACTTTCTTCTTTCCTCTCTGTTCCTACCCTCTCCCACTTTTCCTCTATGGCAGTTTATTTCTGTCTGTCAAATTTGATTTCCTTTTTCTGTGTGATCCTTGTCAGGATGTGATGGAGACTGCACCGGAGAATATAAGATTTCTAGGGGCTCACCCCTTACAGTAAGATTCAGAAGCAAACCCGCCCTCCCGGGATGGTTAGTTTCTCTGTCAGAGGCTACAGAAGGCTTGGTCGCCGGGTCCAGGAGCGTGAGGTGCCTCTGAGGGCGTGCCCTGCCTTTTCAGGGTCCACGGTCCGGCCGACCCAGGCCCCCAGATATTTATGAGGAGATCCTCGGTGGCCCCGGTGCACCTGGCCTCTGCAGGGGCTGGTTGCTGTGCGGGAGGCAGAGAGCACAGGTCCTGCGCGTGGATTCGAACATCATTGTTTTGATTAAACCGCAGTCTCTGCCCTACAGCCAGGTTCGTGGTTTGCCTCCTGCTTGTCGTGGGGAGTCTCTGAGTGTGAGCCTTGCAGGGCAGTCCCATCCAGGGCGGCGTCGGGCACACAGAGTGTGGGCTCAGTTGGTCGAAGGAATAACGCGTTCAGTCTTGGGGAGGCAACCTATCGGTTTGTCCTTCTGCTTAGGAAGGCCACTAGGAGAGAAACTGCCCTGGGCCAGCACAAGTGAAAGGAAGGATAGTCCAGAGCTCGCTGCTCTGCCCTCCCCTTCTCCTGGAAGCCCCGCTGCTGTGTTCGAAGAGGGTTTTGTGTTTGTTTCTCACGAATGTGAATGCTGTCACGGCTGCTTCCGATTCGCTCCTCTGTGCTATACTCCAAACCCTGCTGTCTCTGGATGGCCCGCCCCTGGCGCTCTCTGCTTTGTGGGCACCCCCATGTCTCACTGACGGCCCCCCACTGCGGGCACTCCCATGCCTTCTCCTCCCGCCCCCGCTGGATCACACAGCCATGGGCCCCGTGTCTGTCCTGCTGTGCTGGGGCGGGGTGCGCGGGGCTTTGGGATGCATTTCCAGGAGGGGGTTGTTGGTCACGGGGTATCAGGATATAAACTTTGGATCAGTGGGGACGGCTGCTCCCACACACGTTGCCACGGTCTCCACTTCCACCCACAGTGCCTGGGGTGACTCACATCCTACTGTGTCCCAGTCTCTGCTGCTCTCTCTCATCATTGTGCTTTTCATTTTATTTCCCAATATTTTAGTTGTTTTAATCCTCACCCGAGGATATGTTTCACTGATTTTAGAGACAGGATCAGGCGGAGGGGAGAGAGAGCGAGAAACATTGATCAGTGGCCTCCTGCAGGCACCCGACTGAGGCCCTTGGTTGCACTGGACTACGCTCCAACCTACTGAGCCACCCGGCCAGGGCCGATCCTTGGGGTTTAAATGTTGATTTCTCTGGCTTTTAGGAAGTGTGAGTATCTCTGAATACATGTGTGTGTAAGACTTTCAGGTTTTCTCTTCTATGCCATTTATAAACACTGCTTGTGTTTTACTTGATTTCTCTCCTTTTTTGTCACTTTGCAGTATTTCCTTATATAGTCTAGGACACTAATCCCTTGTCAGGCTTAGACAAGAAAGGGCATATCGATACTGACAGTGCAGAAAAGACGCTACCACGGCAGGAGAGCGGACAGCCCTGTGCGTTGAGTAAACGGGGCTTTGAGTCCCCGAGCGTACTGACCCCCGCTCTTGTCCCTGTCTGCACATACCTCCCTGGAGGGCACTGATTTGGGACGGGCGGGGAGGGGCCGCTGGCACGGACAGCGCAGCTCCGGGAGTGAACCGTCCAGCTGTGTGGCCGAAACCCGGACTGTGTACCCCTGCCGTGCCCGAGGGCCGTCTCCGTGTTGCCCTCGTCGGGAAAGTGCAGTGGATTCAGGCGGTCGTCTCGCCATCTCCACGACGAGTCCTTGGGAAGGCGCCCGGGCATCTGTGCGCCCCGTGCCGGATGCACCTGGCACATCTGTTTGCACGACCATCCCGGAGGACCTTACTCTCGGGAACCCCGTCCCTGTCTGGGGTCCCCACCCCGGGTTCTGAAAACGATTATTTCTTCAGAGGGTCCTGGCTTGCTGCCGGGTTTGCCCAGGCTCGTTCCCGAGCTGGTTCAGACGCCCTGGTTTCTGAGGCTGACTTTCAGGTGCCCTGCGAAGACACGGTGTCTGCCGGCTCGGTGGGATCGTGCTGGCTGGCACGTGGCAGGTGCTTGCAGTGGTCCTCTGGCCTGGCCTCCTGCTCCTACGGGCCAAGCTGGGACGCATCTGAGCCTTGGTGCATGTCTCCGAGGGGTGCGTCCCAAAGTGACTTCCCAGGGTTTGGGATGAGGGAACGTTCGCAGATGTCACACTGTGGTGGCGTTGCCGGGAGGCTGTGACGGCAGTGGACCCGTGTCTGTTTTCAGGGGCTGTCTCTGCCCTCAGCCTGAGCGGGGGCCGGGGTGTGGTCAGGTTTGGCCCGTCCATCGCTTCAGGGACCCTTCCCTCTAGCGTGGGGTTCCTGCCAGCGGCCAGAGCAGTCGGTCCTCCGCCCTTGCTCCTTTCTCCCTCCCCCTGGGGACAGAGTGGGGACTTGAGTCTGAGCCAGACCCCAAGGCCGTGGGTGGGCCTGTGGTCCTGGGCCACCGCTTCCTGTCCCACAGCAGGACTTTGTGAGGCAGGGCTGCTCTGGGGCAGGGCTCCTCTGCTCCGAAGATGGGGGACGTTGGCTCTCAGTAGGGTTTTTGTTACGGGGCAGCCCTGGATGGTCTGAGGATGCTGGTGTTTGCACTTGGCAGTGACCCCAGTCCACGTCAGAGGTAGGGATAGGAGGATGCATTCTCAGGAGCCAGCTCGGGGACAAGTGGGCAAAGGACATTCCTCCTCCCAGACTTGTGCTTCTTAACTGTAAAGTGACGGCTTCGCAGCCACGTGCAGCAGATGGAGTGAAGGAGCTAGAGTCTGTCTGCCCAGGCCGCTGTTCAGGCCCCAGGTACAGCCTTGAGGTGACCAGTGCAAGACCCCGCCCCCCCAGTACATGCTGAAGTGTTAGGAGCATTGATTCCTGGTGACAAAGTGACCCCCTAGGGTCACATGGAAGGTGCTGTTAGGACCCCCGATGTCTCCTTGTACTAACCGCCCACTTTGTGTTTGTTCAGGGTGGTACCGAGGCTACACCTTAAGGAAAAAGTCTAAGAAGGTAAGTCTTTTTTTTTTATTTTTTTTTATTAAACCCAGCGCATGTCTCTTCATAAATCACCCCATGAGAGGAAATCAATTCTATCTCGTTTGTGCCTCGCACTTTCCTTATCTCTTTCTCTGAATTTCAACCACATACGGGCTGAAGCGTGGACTGCCCTGAATTGCTTTCTTTGGAACGACGTGTGGACACAGCGGTTGCAGCTGTGTTTCTGGGGGTGAACGGCCCCCGGGCTGTGCACGGAGAGGGTGGAACCCCCTCTTTTCCTGGGGCGCGTTTGCACCCACTAAAGCGCGGGATGTGCAGGTGAACCACAGGTGCAGCGACTGCGCAGAACGAAAAACAAAACCAGAAGTCTGGTCGTGCTTTTCAATTGTATGCTCTCCTTGAGGATGAATTTACAGATTTGCGAGCTTACGCACACGCCTTCCCTCTTGCTTGTGACTGTTTTATGTCCCTATGCCGGCTTGCAGGAGAAAGGGCTGCGCTCTCCCGGGCCCTTCGCAGGCCAGGACCCACGATTACACCTCGCTCGTTGCGGCGGATGCTCCCGGGCGCCTTTCTGCTGTGGCTTTTCCCTTCTGAGCTGCAGCAACCTTATGATGGCCCTTCGGTTTCACTTTATGGTCTAGAAGTGATATCCGTTCTGCACTGTGGTGAGGCTGCATACGCCCCCTCTCCATGTTTAGCATCTCACAGTGCCTGACGGACGGTTCATGTTACTCCTGTTTCCCAGCTGTGCCTCTCATTACCTCCTGGTTGGGCTGGGCCCCACCCCCCGCTGGGGTCCTGAGCCTGTAATTAAGGCTTCTGAAGTCCGAGGCTCAGGGGGATGCCCCACCCGCCCCACCAGCCCCAGACTGGGCGGCGAGTCTCTGTATCCAGTGGCCTGGGGCCATGCGGTTTGGTCGAGGTCAGTTTTGAGCCAGCTGCAGGGTGGGACAGAGTTCACCCAGGGAAGCTGTGGCCCACTTGACGGCCCCTTTTATAACTAAGAGTGCTGTCCTGCAGCTGCGGCCCCACGTTCGACCTTCATTAACGAAGACCTTGGGTCAGGCCTTGAGCTGCCGTCTTTGTTGCTCTTCCTCCGTCTTGCTGCCCCACTCCTGCCTCCTCTGTGCTGTGTCTCCTGTGAAACCCAGCCACTGTCCCGTAGGCCGGCAGGTCAGGTGGGAGGTGCCTGAGTCCTTCCCCAGCATGACACGTGGTGTGGTTTCCGGGGTGGCCTGTGCAAATGTGTGGGGACCAGATGCTGGGGAAGCCCAGGCGGAGGCGCCTGTTCCCACAGCAGGTGTGTCAGAGCCACCGTGCTGCCGAGGGGGTTTCGGCTGTGCACCCTGAGTCGCACACAGGAAGCCACACCCGGCTGGCTGGCCTGTGCCTCCCTGATGTTCGCTCGGCTCTGCCTCCCCCCGGGAAGGGACAGCTTCGTCTTGTCAGAGAGCAGGACCAGCACGCCTGGTGAAGCTCCTGGCTGGACGTGGGCGGCGCCCAGCCCCGGGCGTCCCCGAGGGGACTGTCTGGGCTCCGTGCAGTCAGGCCTGTGTGCGCGGCACGGGAAACCGGGGTGCTCCCCCGGAGTGGTGCAGATTGGGCGACATGCACCCATTCCTGTATTTATCAGACAGGCCCTCGGTTCGCAGACTGTTGCGGAAGCTGTGGGTGGGGGTCAGGTAAGTGGCCACTGAGCCCATGGTGGTCAGTAGTGCGAACTGGTGAGTTCGGTAACGATCTGAGCATTTCGAGGTTGGGGGCTGTCAGAGACCATCGTCTGCGGTGAGTGCAGGCGCCAGTGGCCCCTGATCATCCCGTGTCCAGGTCGCCAGTGAAAACGGGGCGTGGCCCGTGGAGAAGGTGCAGGAGAGGCCTCTGGGGCTTTTTTCTTCGCAAACAACTTCTCTTCTTTCCCACGATGCCAGCAGCCTCTCGGGAACAAAAGCTTATGGAGTTGGCATTTTAATATTTGTTTTCTTTGTTCGTTTGCATGCGGGACTTAGCAGACGCCTTGTAGAACGAACACAGATCCAGTCACCCCTCCCGCCCCTTTGGGGGCAGCTGATTGATTGACAGGTACTGTTCATATTGATCATAAAAACTGTTTTTGTTTCCTCCCTGCAGGGCATATTTCCTGCTTCATATATTCATCTGAAAGAAGCCATAGTTGAAGGAAAAGGGTGAGTCTGGTCTTCATATTTCAAGGAAGAGTGTGGTGTGTGGCCTTGCAACCCTTCCAAGGGCAGGGCTGCACTGGGGGTGGAGAGTGGGTGGGACGGGCCCGCGTGTGGCCGGAACTTGGGAGAGACGCGGGGATTCAGGGCTGTGTTCAGCCTGGGTCTGAGCCTCTGCAGAGCCTTGGGTCAGCTCACCTGCAGCCCTTGTCCTGAGCCTGGCATCAGTTTCTGGAAACGTCCCAGGGCCCCGTGCATGCTCCGGGAGCCTCCCCAGGCGGCAGAGGCTGCACATCACCCTCCGTTCCCCGCTCCCCTGCTCGGAACCCTTTTCTGGAAGACTTTGCAGTAGTTTAGTGTGAAGAGCAGGTGTTCCGTTGGGCCATGCAAACTACATCTTGTCCGGTTGGGATGCATGTTTCTTCGCAGTCCTAGAAGTGATGGATAAGGTGATTAAAAGGACATTTGCAGAGCAGGGACCCACTAGGCAAGAGCAGCAAGTGAGGAGCCAGGTGCGAACGGGGTCCTTGTTTATCTCAGCCACAGCTTCACACTCAGTTAAGTATGTACGTCATAACGTCACTGGTCACATGATCACAGCATGATGACATCTCTCTGGCTGAGTGCAAAGTTGCCTTTCTGAGCAAGGCACCTCTCACGTGTGCAGGGGAGCGGCTGCTGGTCCGGAGACCCACGATCCCTCCTTCCCACGGAGAGCGTGATGGGGAGGCGTCCGTGGGACGGCCTGCTGCCTGGCGCTTTTTCCGAAGACAAAACGTTCCGTGTGCAACGTTGTACCCAGGAGAAGATGAAAAGGGCCGTTTTGGAGCCGCCACCTGCCCTGGGAATGACTGGAGAAGGGACACTCTCGGTGGGGTGACCTCGATCTCTGTCAGCGTCACTGTGGGCGTCTGCCCGTAGGTGACCAGTTTTTTTAAAGAGCACTGCGATGATGACGAGGGAGTGTGTGGAAAGCAGGTGATGCCTGATAGGAAGTGAGCAGGAGACCCTTCAGTTCTCAGTAAGTTGAGTCCCACCCTGCCAGGCAGACGGACAGGCACACACAGACTGAGACACTTTGTCCCCGTTCCTGGTCTGGTGTCAGATCCCAGCGGGAGCAACGGATGGAGCTCGGGGGACGTGAACAGCTTGGCAACCGTGCAGAAGCCCGGGCCGAGCCCCCCAGCATGTCTGCCTGGCCCTGTCCCCCTGCTGCGCACCCCCGGCCCAGAGCCTCCTGCCCGTCTTCTCCTTCCCGGCCCAGAGCCTCCCGCCTTCCTCCCCTTCCCTCTCTCCGCCTTCCTGTCCTCCCTTCTTTCCAGTGGGGCCGCGCTTGTGCCCCACCCCGCCTGCCTCCTTGCTCTCCAGGGTCAAAGTCAGCATCCTGTGTCTCCTGCGTGGTTCCTCTGTGCTCCGTACACTGGCCTTCTCGGCTCTCAGACGTCTCAGATCATTAACTGATGACTGTCACCACCTCTTTCCTCCCCTTCCCCCAGCAACATGGCGGTTCCCACTCGTCCCCTCCCCTGTGCTGACACGGTCACCAGTGCAGCCCAGTTTCCGGACTTGAGGTGTCGCCTCGGTCCTCGTCCTCGTCTTCTGGAGCCTTCCCGCACAGTCGGGCACTTGGGCTCCCCGTCACTGAAGCTCCTTGTCTGTGTGACGCTTTCTTTCCGTGTCTGTCGCTGCCCCTCTCGGCCCCGGGGCCCACTGCTCCCAGCCTGCCCTCCTTGGTCCTTCTCTGTTGCCCCTGCCCTTGAGACGGCCTCTGTGGTTCCCAGAACGTCAGCTGTGCCCACTCTGTAGGGGACACTTAGATGAGGACCTCCAGCCCCCACTGTCCCCTGAGGTCTAGCTCCATCACGCAGAGCCAGGTAACTAGCATGAGTCACCGCCGTGGGCCGAGCATGACGTCCCACGACGTTCTTCCTGGCAGACGTCCTTCCCCTCGGTCTCGCCTAAGGCCCTGCGTTGCCGCAGTCTGGCTGCAGCGGGTCAAGGGGTCCCACAGGTGAGGGTAGGCGTGGGCGAGGAAATCAGGCAACTACACAGTTTGAAGGCAGGTGAAGCTCTGTTCCGTTTGTTGTAAGTACTAGCAGGTTTTTTATTTTCATTTTAGGTAGTGACTAACATTTGCAGGTGGATAGCATGATCAGTTAAGCAGAAAAAATCAATACAAAGGTAACCAGGAAAAATATGAAAGTTCCCATAGATTCGGTTATAATAAACAAAGATTATTTTGACCAGGAGAGCCATTAATCAGACAATTAGAAGTCGCTGTATGTACAGAGTTTGAATGTCTTAATTGTATATTAAAGTTTCTCAGAATTTGTCATGGGGCAAAAGGATACGCTAGATTGAGTAGAGGTAATAGGAGATTTATTATAAGGCCTTTGTGATGTCTAACTTAGCTGTCTATCCTTTTCTGTCTAAAATGTTTCTCTGTGTACTGTAAACTGACTCTCTAGTAACTGTTTCTATGTGTTTAGTTTGTAATAGTTAACCAGCCCTTTTTTAATTTCTTTGCCTGTCCAATTGATATATATTCTTACTAAAGGTAAAGGAGGGGCTGTTACTTCAACAACTTCTAAACATTCAGGGACTATTTCATTAGAGGGAACTTTGTTCTCTGGTCAAGAAATTATTTTGTACGACTTCATTGGAATTATGCAAATCAATGAACCTGAAATATAAATGTCTAACAATTCCACCACCTTTCGATTACCCAAACAAACATGTAACTAACTTGTTTTTCTTATTTCTGGTATACTGTGGCGGTCCTGATCACCTTAAGTTGCTTAGACCAGGGTAATTTATACAACTTGACATGTTTTCCCTTATGGTTAACAATTATATCGCCCTGGCTGTCATACACCCCTGTATAAGGGAGAGGGGAATCTGCAGATTTTTCCATCCTTTCAGGCAGTTTCCTGGGGAATACTAATGTTTTCCCCTGAACTGTTCCCTCCTCTTTGGTGATTTTCACAGGAACAAGTAAGTACAGTTCAATGTCTATACTCAGTAGCAAGAGTAAAATAATTAAAATAAAACAGCCAATTGATAACCCATTTTGGATGCCACGTTCTCTTCCGGGGAGATGAATTCCTTGAACTTGAATCCTCCATGCCCGGACCTTGTCAGACAGCATGGTTGGAAGAGGGCGTAGCCCTGCGTGGCAGTGTTGCTGGCTCTGTGTATTGCTGGCCCCCACAGGTAACCAGGTGGTTACAAAGAGAACACGGCACAGCAGGTTAGATACGATAGAGCCAGCTGACCCCTTGGGCCAAGGGACAGATCAGGCTGACCAGGAGGGAGAGAGGGAGAAGGCCACGGGCCTGAGAACAGGACACGGCTCGCAGGGAGGGCCCCTCGTGTGCTGAGAACCGGCCTGAGTCCGAAGAGCCGGTGGGAAGAGCCCACTGCACTCAGCGTGGGACTCAGGATCTGTGAGAACCCTCCCGCCCCCCATGCTGATGACTGTAGTCACCCCATGAGTGGGGAGAAAGCCCCTGGAGACTTCACGACGGGCCCTGCAGGGTGTCATGAGCCACAGTTTCATCAGCAGCCCTGCTGGGAAATGCGGACTCAGACCAGGCAGGGCCATTTCAATAGTCACGCGTTGTCTCGGGTGCCAAAGACGTCCCAGCCAGGGTTAATTCCTAAGCGCCATTTTGCGGGGGGTGCTCTCGGACGCACCCCTCCCTCAGGCCCTGGGTTCCTCCTGCTCCCACAGGGCCTGTGACCAGACCACTCCGCAGACGGGCTTTGTCTCAGGACTCCGCTGTTTCTCCCTCCAGGCCTGAATCCTGGTGCTCAGCTGATGTTGGGGCCCTGCACAGGTCAGGGTGTGCGGGTGGGGGGGGACCTCCTCCCGCCTGGTGGGTCTCATCTGTTCAGGACACGGGGCTGGTGGGCTCACATCACAAGCCACAAATTCAGTGTCTCCTGCAGCCCCTGGGATTGGGAGTCCTGTGCAGGGCCCTGAGCACAGCCAGACAACGGGTAGATTTGCTGAGAGACAGTGCACACCTGGCCAGGGAGTGGAGGCTGAGTCAGGGGTTAACCTGCTGGGGCAGAGACGAAGGAGGAGGAGGAGGAGGGTCGGGGTTTGGGATCAGATGGGCACCAACGGACATTTGAAAGCAGCGACTTCGCTCAGAGCCTGTCACGAGTAACCGCTTCAGCATTATCGTCTAATGAGTTTTACGCATGACAGAAATGCAGAAAGCCTCTTCCCCCAAGCCTGCATGTTAATGCCGTGCAGATTGGTTATAATTTATGGCGTGTGTAGGAGAGATGCGTGTGCGTGTCGGGAGGGAGTTGCCACTGCCCAGACCTTGGTGTTCTGGAGACTTCTAATTGGCTGTTATTTGCCTCCTTCGTTGTGGCTGGGCGTCGGAGGTGGACAGCTTACACAGAGGACAAGGGACAGACATTCTCAGGCTTGGAACAGATACCACCTGTGGCTCTAGAGACGCAGGCCTAGGTGTGGGTACAGTCTGCCTGGTGTGTTTTCTCTCCATCTGCTGAAGTGCTTCACTCTGCGGCCCAGGTGTGGGGTTTGCAGGGTTCACGTCGCACAGGTTCATGAAGCCCTGGACTTAGCTGCCCTCCCTCCCTCCCTCCTCCCAGGCAACATGAAACGGTCATCCCGGGCGACCTGCCGCTCATTCAGGAGGTCACCACGACGCTGCGCGAGTGGTCCGCCATCTGGAGGCAGCTCTACGTGGTGAGAACGGGGCGCAAATGGGGGCAGAAACACTCGCGGTGGTTTTTCTGGGCCTTTGCTGTCCCAGGGGGTGCTCTGCTCTCCCTGAGAGCCCCAGAAGCAGACCTGGGCCAGCGATACTCAGAAAGGGCAAAGCAACACGGCGTGTGTTCTGCTCACCCTCGGGGGGTCGTGGGCCCTTTGACCACCTCTGTGTTGGGGTGTGACCGCCCTCACAGCAATGAAGTGGCTGTAAAGGGCAGGGTCATGGGTCTTTCCTTCCTTGTGTCTAAAGGGAACACTTTGGTTTCAGAGACGGGATTAGGCAATAAGCCTGGGTCTGCCCTCAAAGTTTATATTTTGATCTCGAAAGCAAAAATCTGCTTTTAAACTGAAGTAGGTGCTTATTTCTGGGTTCGGTAGAAGACGATCTCTGTTGTGTACTTATTTTGGCCATTGCCTGGCCGGAGGTGCGGCCCCCTGTCCTTTGATAGAAACCACACAGCCTTCTAGAGTGAATGAAGCGTGCTTGTCGGAGGCGGGGGTTGGGGGGACTTGTGTGCAGGTGCTCGTCTTTGCTGCGTGGAGAGGAAGTCTCATTCCTTCAGGGGGGTGGTGGCCGTGACCTCTCCCTTGTCCTGTTCCCTCAGTGCCTGTCCTTGCGCATAAACTCATATTTGCGGAAGGTTCCCTTTTGTTAGCCCGCATTTCTATTCCAACGGTTGATTTCTTCTCATATGCTAATGTGGTCCATGCAAAAGCCGGCCTGTGCCAGCCAGCCGCTCGGCTTCTCCGAACACGGAAAACTTCCTGAAGCCCCGCAGCTGCTCTCGGGGGCCGCTCGCTGTTCCTAATCATACAGTGGTTTCCTATAAATGCACAGTAATAGGCAGTTGCAGTAATTGTTCATCAAATGTTCTCAAAAACCTAAAAGCGTAAAGTTAGCTATGAATGCTTTGTGTAAATCTGAGCAATTTTGTAGTCGGTGTTTCGTGTTTGACTTAGCAATTTTTAAACAAAAAATACGGCAGCAAAACAAACAGGAGTTGGTGCTAATACGTTAGCGGACACGGTCTCCGGTGTACAGCCCTGACGTGGCCGTCCCTGCCGACCCCCTCGGTCTCCTCCTTAAAAACGTGACTTTGCTCTTTGCAGACCTGCACTGTTGGCCCCCTGCAAAGCCAAAGGGAAATGCTTAGGATATTTTTATGGACGGTTTTTGTTATCATTTCGGTTTTGCTCCACTGTGTCGTTGTGGACAAGTTAGCAAACTGTGAAGGGTTTTAGATGTTTGATAAGGCTTTAGAAAATGGGCAAGGAGAATTAGTAAGGGGGAAATAATGTTTCAATAAGGCATTGATTTTGACCACTTAGGTTTCATGTAATAAATTAAAAATGAGGATAATACCATGAAGAAGCGTCCGTGGCATGTGAAATAGTCTGTTAGGGTGTCACATGACACGGGGTGGTGGGGAATCGTGCCCATTCCCAGAAAAAGGCCAAACACGACACACAGTGCGGTGTGAGGTTCAGCTACCCAGAGGAGACCCCATTTTAATGAGCACATGTCAATTTTCTGTAGGGACCGTGTGTTCAGAATTTTACCTGCTCAGTTCTCACCGAGATTTCTTTGCACGGAGAGAACCGCTGGGCCGTTTTTTCTCTGGATTCCTCCTAGTTTCCTCGACAACTTGTCCTCTCGCACTTGCAAAATTGGTGCTTGTCTTTCTGCCATCAGTGCCCTTGAGATAGGTGGGCAGTGGTAAGAAGTGTGAATTTTGTGTCTTACCTGCATTTTCCTTTCAGCATCAACACACCCAGAGCTTGGAGATTCAGATTTGGCTTCTTGTAGAAGCCTGTCCACCTGTGCTCTGTGACCCACCGTGTGCCAGGGGTCTGCTGCCACGCCCTCTCTAGGGCAGGGGGCAGCGAGGCCTCGGGGTCGGCTCCCTCGTGCGTACAGGGGTCCTGAAGGCTGGGTAGGCAAGGCGTTTACGCTCCGACTGATTCCGAAGGAGAGTTCGTGGCTGCCCCCCTGGGGCCGCTCACTCCAGCGGACTCGCTTTGAGACTCTCAGTCCGGACCCTGCTCCGGTCGGCCCCTGGATGCAGCGGTCCACAGTCCAGAGCACCGAGGGCAATATTAAGGGTCACACTTGGCGTCTTTCGGTGTCTGGTAGGAACCGAATTCCATAGCACTTGTAATTGGACGTGAGTTGCGTTCTGTCCTGTGAAGCGAGTGTATGTGAAAAGCAAAGTCCAGGATCCTGTTTTATACCCCGAGCGCTGAAAGGGCTTCTCTCCCCTCGCACAGCTTGGCAACAGGGAGATGTTCCAGAGCGTGCGGCGCATGATCTACGACCTCATTGAGTGGCGGTCGCAGATTTTGTCCGGGACCCTGCCGCAGGACGAGCTCAAGGAGCTGAAGAAGAAGGTCACTGCCAAGATCGATTATGGAAACAGGTTTGTTCATTTGAGAGATGATTTCATGCTTAAACTCCTCCGTATAATAACATCGGCGCAGGCCTTGAGGAGACTAACGTCATATTTCATCATAAAACCACACTTCCAACACCCAAGTGGCAGCACGGTTTTCATTTTGAAAAGGATGAGGGGTTTTCTGTCGCATCCTGAGAACCAGGAGTTTTCTGAGTCGTAATAGAAACCTGTTCTTGTCTTCAAAAGCCTGGGGTTAGGCCAGCCTGTCCCTCCCACGATGACGCCCCCAACAGGGAGTGGTCTTTCTGAGCAGTGTTTGACCTGGAGGCCAGGCATGGGAGTACGTTGTGCAGTAATAAGCGCAGATTTCTTTCTGTGGGTTCCCAGCTGCTCAGAGTTGAAAGGGACACCGGAGGTTCCCTTTAAATGTGTCACTGGTGTGGCGATATCAGATTCAGCAAATGGCAGTAGAGCCCACTGCCCTTCTCTGGTAAACAACGGAAGGAGGATGGGCACGAGTTCCCACCGCGGCCAGCCTCCGTGCAGCCGCGCTGGAGCACCCTCGGTGTGGTGCGCTCCCTTCCACACTGAGCTGCAGGTTCTCCCCGCCGGGAGCTTGTGATGTCCGATCCGGAAAGGAGTTGAGCTGCTACCCCTGACTCCACGGGGTCACGGACTGCAGAAGGACCCTGTGGTCGGTCTGAGCTGCAGGAAGCCTTACATGTGATCTGGTCACACGGGTCCCAAATGCTGGTCTGTGTCATCCTTACTTGGAAGTCTTATAAAATGTAGACTCCAGGGACCTGCTTCCTACAAACCTGACTTCCACTGCCTGGGACGCTGGCTGGAAGTCTCAGGCTTCAAAGACAGAGTTGCCCTATGATTAGGCAGCAGATTGGGGGCATTGGGTTTCGCCCAGCCCCTGAGTTTACACGTTAGTACATAACACTCAGAGACGGGGACAGTCCGCCCCTCATCATTCACGGTATGCCTAAGAACTTTCCTGTAACATCAGAGTTGGAGCGTCCTTTTGTGTTCTGGTAATTCGTCCTTTCGGGGGTGAAAGGTGTCTGCAAGCCGCGTTATTTGTTCCATCCACCTAGTCTTTGGACTAGAAAGGCTGCAGGAGAAGGCTTTTGTTAGTTTTCCTGGAAATCCGCAGGCTCTGGGGAGAGCATATTTGATAGGGCCACAGCAAGAAAACCTCCTTCACGACCTGCTGCCCAATGGCACCAAACTTTGGGGGCTCGGATTTCATTTTCTGTGAGAGTACTGTATTTTGAACTTGGGTTCAGAAGCCACCTGTTTAATTTGGCCGCAGGACGCCACCCAAGCACATTATGCTCTGGAACAACCCTGGTGAAGAAAGGAAAGGTTTGCAGTCATCATTTTCTACTTTGATAGGAGACACGGTCCTTAGTGAGACAGCGTTTCGCCCAAGGAACTGGAGTGTGTGCTGTAATTTCTCTGCAGACCAGTGCTCCGCACGGCTTTCTAGTTCCTTCAGGAAAAATAACACAAAGGAAAAAAACACAGCATTGCGAGTTGGAGTGTAAAATGGTTTCTGGGGGACAGTTGAGGAAAGTCATTTCGATGAAAGCCGAGGCCGTTGCTCTAGGAAAATGCACATACATAGTCCACGTCCAGTTTTGCATATGCCTTCTTGGGCATTTCCACCCTCCTTTGCTCACCAGGGCTGTCCCGTGACTTGGCCTCTCGTGGCCTTAGGCTGTCCTGCGAGGCTGAGATGCGTCCACACAGCGGAGGCTCCCTCAGGGTTCAGCGCCTCTGGGCACAGGACGGCAGGAGGAAGGGTTTTGGCATGAGGAAGACAGGCCCCTGGACAGGCCCCTTCCCGTGTTGTCACCTGTGGCATTCTGGAAAGAGCCTGGGTTCTTCTGCCTTGAGAGGGTTCTGGCTCAGGATCCAGGCTCTGGGCTCTTGTAGATGTTTCTCTGACTCCGTGTCTGAGTACGTGGCAGGCTGTTGACAGCCCACGGGCCCGTGGCCTGGGACTCTGCTCCTCCGGATGCTGGTGCTGCGTGGACAGCAGTATTGGCCAGGACCTTCTGGCTGGTCCTAAGCCAGGTGCTTTGTAGCTCCTCCCACACCAGGTTGGATCCCCTCCCCACCCTCATTAGCATGGGCTCCACCCACACTAAGATGACCCCGCCCATAGCAGCACTAACTGCCCAGGGGCGTATTCAGTTCAGGGCTGGGATAAGCAGTAATATTTGGGAAACATGTTGCAAAGACAGTTAATGAGAGTCTAAAGGTCTTTTTTTTCCTTTATAATGCCTTTCTGTGCCTCTGGAGGCACCCTGCAATCATTGCAGGCTGTTTTCACGCAGGGCGAGAGGCCTCTGATTATTTGCTTAAAAGCCTGTTCACTCTCATGTTGCTCACAGGTCCCATTGGTCTGTCTCACCCTCAGTGAATGTGCTTAATAGATATTCAAGGGAAAAAAGGAGGTTTTTGTGGTTGCCTTCCAAACGGTGCAGTGGGCCAGCCTAACACTCGGACTGAGCCCCTCACGCATCCTACTCCTGTCCAGCACTGGGGTGACCTTCGGAGTGTCCAGATGGGGTCTCTGCTGCCGAGTCAGTGTTCCTCTCGGTCATTGCCTCCCGAAGGCCCTCTCTGACTGACATTTGTCTCTCTTTAGACAGACTTTCCTGGGTTGTGGGGTTAAAAAAATCAAAACATTCTGCTTCTGTAGACATGTTACCAGCAGGCAGAAAACCCCCAAGGCGGGGCGCACAGCACCCAGGGTTCAGACCTCCTGTCTGGGTGGAAAGAGCACCAGACACGCCACTACTGTCGCCCAGCTCTTGGCTTCCGTTCTTCATGTAATTGCCCTCGTTTTTCCTTGAATAACAATTACGCTAAAAATCACCTGTTTCGTTGGATTAAGGAAGATGGAGACAATGTTGCCAACAAACATTTCCAGGTGGAGGTGGGTTAGCTTTATGGGCCAGACGCTGCCCACGTTTTCAGCTGGCTGCTGTGTTTAACCATCTGGCCAGAAAGCTGCGTAACGTTATTGTGGGTAAACCTGCCTAGGCTTGGCGTTGAGGCACCATGGAACATCTTCACTGAAAACAGGACCTGCCAGAGTGTGCACAGCACACTAGTCACAGTGACCGCGTGGTGATTAGTAACATGCACTTCACTCGAATTCACAGATCAGTGAAGTTTCTCATCGCAGGACAAAGGCACTGTGGTGGGGGGGGCTTCTGTTACTTTTTTTTTTAATTCCAAGGGATTGTGTTTTCAGTTAAAGAAAGTGACCTTGCAGAGAATTATGTCCCCTAAATATTTGTGGGTGACCCCAACTTTCTGTGATGTTTTCCTCTGCTCGGTTGCTGGGACTGAAGTTGTGTTAGAAAATTCAAGGCCCTTCCTTGGTTTGGGTCCCCGGAGTTCTGAATTTTTGTCGTTCTAGAATTCTCGATTTGGACCTGGTGGTGAGAGATGAAGATGGGAACATCCTGGATCCAGAACTGACCAGCACGGTCAGCCTGTTCAGAGCTCATGAAGTGGCTTCAAAACAGGTGGAGGAAAGGCTACAGGAGGAGAAGGTGAGTGCATCCGGCTGGCCGGCCTGCGCCGTTCTCGTCTGGGAGTGTCTTCCCAGCACCGGTCCAGCATCGGCGTGGCCTAGAATCGGCACCGAAAAAGGGCCTGCGTAGGCTCCGCCACACAGCACACCCACACGGGGATGAAGGGTGCAGGCCCGGCGTCGACACCTGTTGCCAATGACCTGCCAGGATTTCATCCCTTGAGGGGTGCAGGGCGTATCAGGACACAGGGTTTTATTGGTGTTGACTCGGTGTGTTCAGCTCGTGGGAAACGACACTTGATTCTGCGCATGCTCTTTGACTCGAGTGGGGGGTGAGGTCGTCTCAGCTCGATGAGGGCAGGGCACAGATCTTGGTCTTTCTCCTCCCCCGGGGCCTTTCACGGGGTCTTGTGCCGAGTAGACATTCAGAAACAGAGGCACCACCTTGTCATCCATGCATTCAGCAGGTGTTGTGCGCCTGCCGTGTGCTGGGTAGTGGGGACATAACGGTGAGGAAGACAGAGGTGTTCTTCAGAGGGCTGGTTGGTCTCCTGGGAGAACCAAAATTAACAGACGGTTCTGCGCGTAGCCACCGTTCTGGTTCCTGGGTTGGACCCTTGGACATGGTGGAGCCCGGCAGACGGTGGTCAGTGTGCCTGGTGGTGGTTGTGGCCATTGCACAGGGTGTCCTGATTTCCTGTGGGCTGCACGCATGTTCTGAGACCTTGAAGTGGGGACAAGGAAGTGACCGTGTGAGTGGCTTTGCTGCGTCGTGCCGACGGGTGCCGCGGGCTTTCCTGTTCTGCAGGGGTTAAACAAAGCAAGGGCTGGCGATGGGCGCGCTGATGCCAGCTTTCTGCTCTGCTTCCCCTTACAGTCTCAAAAGCAGAACGTGGACATCAACAGGCAGGCCAGGTTTGCCGCCACCCCTTCTCTGGCCTTGTTCGTCAACCTCAAAAACGTGGTCTGTAAAATTGGAGAGGACGCCGAAGTGCTCATGTCTCTGTATGACCCCGTGGAGTCCAAGTTCATCAGGTCAGTGACATTCCCCAGCTGCTGCCTGTCCTCTCTGGTCGGTGTTGGGGCACCAGCCTCTGGGCCCTCGCAAAGTCTCACTCTGGCAGAGAGCCTTTGGGGGGCGGTCCCCTGGCCAGACTGTCCCCTGTGCAGCTGAGCCGGTGCTCCGTGAGGACAGTGTGGCGGCAGGTAGCTCAGGCTCTGGGCCAGGGTCCGCTCTCTGGTGCAGGAGGGGATTAGACCGCGGCCACGGAAGAGTGAAGCCATGCTGTGTCCCGTGTCCCGGGACTTTATCTGTCCGCACCCCCAAATACCGCTCTTCTCTTAAAGTTGCTGTTTTGAGCTTCTGTTCTCCGTGAAGGTCGCCTCTGGACCTTTGACCTAATATTGTTCCTTCGAGACGATTGAGGGCCACAGTGTCTGTCCTGGTGCCTGCCACCTCCGGGCTCTCAGTCAGCATCTGTCGAGTAAACTGTGGTGAATCCTCTCGGTCACCTCTGATGAGGCAGTCCCTTCCCACGCTTTGCTCTTGTCCCTCAGGATGACTTTCTCTTTGTCCAGTTGGAAAGATGAGGGTTTAAATTGTGTATGGAGAATGTGTCTAAGACTCCAGCATCCTCACTTGTATTACTCAGAACTTAAAAAGCACACGATGGAAAACCGAGTAGGGTGAGTTTCACTCTCACTTGTGATTAAGACTTATTTCTTCTCGACGTTGGGCTCTGTATGTTTAGGTCATGCTTGGTTAGTCACGCCCTGAGGCATGCAGTGTATTTGATACGGCAAAGGAATGGTGCTGGCCGTGGTCAACAAGTGTGCTTTAAAAACAAGCCCTGTCGAAAAGCCGCTTTCACACACTTCCGTTGTGATTATAGCCCCGGACACCCGCCATCGAAACCCCCCACCTGTGCCTCGAGCCCCACCTCCGGTGGGCGGTGGCCTGTCTCCTCTGTTGACGGGGCAGCACCCGGCGGCATTGCCTGTCAGTCGGTGTGGGTGCACCTTCGGTGCCCGGTGAGGGTGGGAACGTGAACTTCCTCCTCTTTCTCTTCCCAGTGAAAACTACCTGGTCCGCTGGTCCAGCTCGGGGCTGCCCAAGGACATAGACAGGCTCCACAACCTGCGAGCCGTCTTCACCGTAAGTGCGCCCAGGGGTGTTGAACAGACTCGCTCACCTTTCTCGTGGCAGGTTTTAGTGACCCCTCCCCCACGCCTGGCCTCTGACCACGCTGGAGAGGGTGGGTCCCTGGGGTGCCCACCCCACGTGGTCATTCAGCAGTAATGACTCCCTTCCCAGAGTTCTCCTGGGTCCTGGCTCCCCTCAGGGTCCCCTGAACAAAGATTGACCGTGTTCCCGCGAACACATCGCCTAAGTTTGTGTCTAAAGTTCACTTAGTGTTCATTGACTGTGGCTGCCCTGCTCCTTTTTGTCCTGGGGACAGCTCAGTAAAATGCTGCAAACCGGTCAGAGAGGCGAGTCTCTCTCTGTGCGCCTCTTGGCTGTGGGTCTCCGCGGCCCCCACGTCGAGGGTGATGCTCCAGAGTAACGCGTGGACATTCCTGTTCCTAGGACCTCGGGAGCAGAGACCTGAAGAGGGAGAGGATCAGCTTCGTCTGCCAGATTGTCCGCGTGGGCCGCATGGAGCTGCGGGACAGCAACACGCGGAAGCTGACCTCGGGCCTGCGGCGGCCTTTCGGGGTGGCCGGTAACCCATGTCTTCTTTTCCCGGGGGGTTCAAGGCTGTCACCTTCACCCGGAGTGGAGCTGCTGCCGAGTCTCTGATTTGTCAGCTCTTCTGTGGCAGAGAAGAAAGTCATTCGGCCCTCTTGTGGGTGGTGGCCAGTCCCGGTGCCGCTCCGGGGGCAGCCCGAGTCTGGAGGTGGATCGCAGGTTGGGTTTTCGAGTTGTCGCCTCTCCCGGGCGGACCCCGAGCCACACACTCAGCCTGGAGGGAAGCCAGCCCTCGGCAGTGGCCAGGCGTCTGGACTTGCGGATGGGTTGATTCAGGAGTGAATTTGGGCCGAGTGGTCCAAGGCGGAGGAGGACAGTTTCCTCAGCGTACGGGGCAGTTCGGTCTCCTTACTTGTGCCCCGTTTTTCCTTTATTGGGGGACAAACCAGAAGAAGGGGAGAGCTAGTTGTCTCTGTGGAGCTGCGCCGGACGTGTCCCCAGAAGCTCTCATTCGCTGACCTCTTTCCGGGTCACTGGCAGTCACCCTTTCGGGAGGTGCTGTTCCCTCAGCGTTTGCTGGTAGCCGAGGAGCTTCACCGCACAGCCTCGCTCTCCTCTGGTCCTGCTGTGGGCTTTGGGGCTCCACGAGTGTGGGTGTGTGGAGAGCACTTCCTTTCCGATCTGCCGCTGGGGGTCTCGAATGACCGGCAGTCAAAGGCAATCCTCACCCGCATGACCAGGAAACTCGGGGCTTAGTTTGTCTTGTTTCGGTTTTGACTACTTTCAAACAGACTTTACCTTTAGAACAGTTGTAGGTTCCTAGCAAAATCCATCAGAAATTACAGAGATTGCGGAGCGTTTCTGCCGGCCCCGCACCCCCCCACCAGAAGACACGTTCGTTGCAGTTGATGGGCCCTCGCAGTCATGTCTGTAGTTTACATCAGGGCTTGCTCTCAGTGGTGCCCGTCCGGTGGGTTTGGATAACCGTGCAGTGACCTGGGTCCCCTGTTATGATATCATACAGAGTCCTGCTGGCCTGAAAGTCCTCTGTGCTCTGCCTGGATTTTTCTGGAAAAACATATTGAGTCAGTGAGATGAATGATTCAAAGAAATGATTCACTGTGTCATAAGAATTACCGTATGTTGCTGTGTATAATGCGCACCCACGGTTCTGGCCCAAACTTTCAGGGGAAAAAATCTTTTAATTTTTGAATTCAATTATGTATTTATTTTTATCGAGCTACTTGTGTTTTTGTATTATAAAGGAATTTTAGCATTTATTTTTGAACCTGCTGTGGTACAAGAAACTTTAGGTAACAAATAATTACAAAACACAAGAACGGGTACAAGGCGTTTCAGGTACTGCCCGTGTATGATGCGCATCCTTATTTTTCCTTCAAAAATTTGCACAAAAAAGTGTGCATTACACACAGCCAAATACAGGTAAATGACGTCAGCGAAATGGGCACGATGAGGAAGAGGCACAGACTTCAGTGGGCGACCACCCCCACGGACTCCCGCAAGGGGGCTGCTGTCGGACTTGCCACTCGTGAGTGACGTGTGCTGGGGGTGCTGCCGTTCTGAGCTCAGGAGGTTCTCTCGTGCTTTCTCTCCTTATTTCTTGCGTATAGACTTGAGCATCGCCCCCCTACTTTCCAGGCCCCGCTATCTCTTTTATGTGTAATCTGATCTTACCGTTGAATTTTCGGGACTGCTGGATCTCTCTCCCATCTTTATGGCAGCTTTGAAGGAATATTTTTATTCTTACCGCAGAGGTCTTGGGCTTCCCTTAGGAGGGAGTGTGTGTAAATCAATCGTCTTTCCCTTACTGAGACTGTAAATTCTTTGGTTGGTAGGGACCAACAAAGTGTAAGTTCCTGTGAGTGCAGAGGTTCCTTGAACCCCGATGGCAGCCAGGCCAGCCGCCAACGGCTTTCCCTTCCTTTTGGTTCGGATGAGAACGCTTAGTTCTCACAGGCTGACTGTGTGGGTGATGGGAATGATGCGTATTTTGATTGGGGTGGTGTGTGCATGGATATATGCGTTTTCAAAATTCATTGAACTATATTGTAATCTGTGTACTCAATTTAACTTTTTATAAAGAAGAAAGTCAATTCAGAACATCCTTTCCTATCAGAAGTGTTCTGTGAGCCCCCCTGCTAACACAGGCTGGCTTCGGTGCCTCCTTGGGGCCCCCAGCTCTACAAGTCTTTCCGTCACTGGGCTTACCTTACCCCTCTGTACGTGCACGGCTGTGGAGCTCACTCGCCCACCTCTCCGGACTGTGAACACCGTGACGTAACAGCCCTGTTTTCGTAGTTCCTCCTGCCGTGGGTCGTACTTGGCAAAGTAGCCGCAGGGAATCAAAGTCACAGTTCAGCTCCTGCATCACACTTGCCACACTTCAGGGGCTCACTGTTCTAGAACTTTACATCATCACACGAGGGTCTCTGGGCAAGTGCAGCTCTAGGCGGCCCGTTGGGTAAGAGGCAGAGGAATTTGCGGAACGGAATTCTGCCATTCAGGCCCCGTCTGGGCCAGTGTCTGCAGAGACCTGCACTTGGCTTACAGACCGGCGCCTGGTTTGCTTGGGTGCGAGAAAACCCCACCACGCGGCTCGTGCGGTTGTTTGGCAGAAGACATTCTGAAGTTCCTTTGTTTGTTTGTTTTCCCTGATTATAGCATTTCAACACCACAATCTTTGTTCTTTTCTCGTTCTCAGTGATGGATGTAACAGATATAATAAATGGAAAAGTGGATGATGAAGATAAACAGCATTTCATTCCCTTTCAACCGTAAGTATGGAGCAGTCCAAGTCCTTGACCAGATGTACCATAGAAAACGTGTGTTCGAAACAGTTATCTCCATAGTTAAGTTTATAAATTCAGCACAAAGAGGGGCAGGTTATTTTCAAATAATGGAAGATCAGCCTGGCCACTGTAGCACCTGAGATTTTTGTAGCCAGAAGAGAAGCCTGAGTCACAGTTCGGTCTCCCCAGTGGAATATTGTGTGACCCCAGAATCTCTTTCCACTCGGGACACATGGAATCATGATTCTGCTCTGAGCGTGAAAGGTTCTTTACATCATTGATTTATTCTAGCAGCGACTCACGATTTCAGAATACAGTACTTCCAGGTTTATCAGAGGGGGTTGCTGCTGTTAGAACAGGCGACCGAGTGAAATAACGATGAACTCCTCTGTAAAGCTAGAGGGGATGCTCTGAGCCGATGCTCAGGTGGCAGATCTTCCCGCCTCGCGGTTGCGGAGGGTGGACTGCCCCTGCGGCCGCCCTTGGAGAGTGCACAGTCGGTAGCGAGGTGTGGGACGCTGGAGCCAAGTTCAGAGGAGGCCCCCGAGACCGATGCTCCCACGTGGAGGTAGATCCTGTGGAAAAGGCTGCAAGGGTCGGTCTTGTTTCCCTGGGGATTGAAGCAGGAGGGTCCCTAGAGGGTGGGCGGGGCCCCTCGGGCGCTGCCGCGCCTCCGACAGGTGGTGGGAGGAGGGGGGCTGAGAGTACACAGGGCCGCCTGTCGGAGGCAGCTTCCTGACTTTACCTTTTACATCGTCTTCCCACGTGGACTGAGTGGGCTGGGGGCTGGGGATGCTCAGTGGGGCCAAAGGGGTCCGCTTCCAGGCAGGGGCAGGCTGGGCAGAGGGTGCGGGGTGCGCTTCCCTTGGCACCATGAACCCGCGCCTAATGGACCAGCCGCCCCAGCCGGAACTGACCACTCCTTCAAGGTAGCAGGAGAAGGCTCTGCTTTGGAGGCAGGCGATTGGTCAGAGAGCGTCCTGGCTCCACGGACAGCTGCGCAGTCTGTCAGGCCCGGGAACTCCCCGAAAGCCTGCACTACCGGGCACAAATGCGCATCCCCGCACCACTGCACACATGCAGGGACAGAGTCACGAGGCTTCCGTGCTGCGGGCTTACTTTTCTGTTCCTTACGGTAGACACCAGCCACCTGGGGCTATTTCGGTCCATGGAAATAAAATGAAATTAAATACCAAGTGCTCAGGCACACTCGCCCCATTCGAAGTGCTCAGTACCGCACACCCGTAGGGGTCCGCACGACAGGCCACTCCCGTCCTCGTAGCTCCCTCCCCCTGTCGGGCGGAGCTGCCGCGAGGTCACACCCAGCAGAGAGCAGCAGAGGAGGCCGGTGCTGCAGAATCGGGGCACTTCCTGGGCGGACGGGGGAACGTCATTTCTGAACACGGGCCGAGTCGAGGTGAAATATTAAACACACCTTTATAGAATGATGCCACGGAGCTGCTTCCTCTGCCCACTCAGGGTGGCATAGCCCTGTCCTCTTGACTGCTCCTGTGCGTGGGACACCTTCGAGTTTCCTGGGCCCCTCATGTGGCACCAAGCTGACATGGCCCATGGCCTGCCGTGCCTTCTGGGAAAAGCCAAGGGAAAAGAAAACTAGTCGGACGAGGGAGGGGGCTTCTTAGGTCATTTTTAGGTGTGTTCACCTAAATGCCACCGGGCCAGGCCAGGAGTTATTAGAGACAATGAACTGCCACCATCTTTTTCTGTCTTTAAAACATGTACTTGCAAAACTAGGATTGCACGCTCACCTCTTACCGCAGTTCGTAACTCCTCGCCCCGTTAAAGGGAGGTGGGCATTGGCAGCGTTTGAAACTAAAGAGCAACACGGTTGTAACAGCAAAATAAGCAATGAAACCAGTTCTCTGGGAAATGCCATGCTAATGAAACCATTTTTTGCTCCATTAAAACTGATTTATCATATTACAGGGTGAGTTTTAAGGAAGGGAAGCAGAGCCCACATCTCTCTCTCTCTGTCTTTGAACTTGGGGAAGTAAATTAAGATACTCCTCAGCTCTCTGGAGTAATGGGGGCCCAAGTGATGGATGACACCTGTCGTCATTCTGAAAATGATTTTGAAAAGTCCGCATGGGACGTGTGTTTTCTCGCTCATTGCACATTGTCCCTTGCTGTGCTCCGTGGCGTTTCTCTGCGCAGTTGCCTTGTTTGTATTTATTCTCTTGTCTAGCGCAGCTTCTATCCAAAGATCCTGACTCAGGAGCCCCCAGAACACTGGTGGTCACATCCACACCCGGGCCACGGTTTGGCTTCCCAGAGGTGGTGGTCCTCCGAAGACCAGGCCATTTTCTAAGTTTAAATGTTCTGGGCCACCCTGACCACGTGCTCTTCCAGAGCAGCGTTCGGTTACCGCCCAAGAGTCCAAGAAATGAAGTGGGAGGGATTTTTCTTCCTTGGTATTATTTTTTCCCTTCAAACAACCTGCCCCTGGACCTATGCTATGGTTTGGAATTTCTGAAATTGAAGAAACGTTTATAAACGTTCCTTGGGATTAGACGCTGTCCCAGTGTGAATTTCCAGATCAGCCCCCCCTGTAGCTGCCGAGCAGACACGGAGCGAGGGTCTGGTGCCGTGTGTCCTCGGGGGCAGGGTCGACTCATTTGCTTTACTTTTCTTATGTGGTTCAGCATTTTCCTGATCGATGCTCTTCCCTGTCTCTCTTGTCACCTATCCTGTCCTTTGTCGTGCGTTCACTCATGATGGCTCTCTCGCACTCGGTGACGATGGTCTCTTGTGTTCCCTTGTTCCCGTGACCTCTGGGTCTCTGTGCCCCTTTGTCTCCTCTGGTCTTGGTCGTCCCGTGCCCTCCAGGCTCGCGTTGGACGACGCCATTCGACACAAGCCGCTGAACATGTCATCCCGTTTTTCACCCAGGGTGGCAGGGGAGAATGACTTCCTCCAGACTGTCATTAACAAAGTCATTGCTGCCAAAGAAGTCAACCACAAGGGCCAGGGTACGTATTCCATTGTTTCGTTCCTGCACGTGTTCATATGCCATGTGGTTTGCATTTTAGTTTGATGATGATCAGGATGGCGGTGGTGGTGGTGGTGGTGGTGGTGGTGGCAGTGATGACGAGGAAGAGAACAGTGGTGATGCTGGTGATGGTGAATGTGCTGGTGGTAATGATGCTGGTGCCGATGATGAGGAGGAGGAGGATGGTGGTGATGGTGATGCTGGTGATGGTAATGATCCTGGTGCTGAGGAGGAGGAGGAGGAGGATGGTGATGATGGAGGCGATGGTGGTGGTGAAGATGAGCATGGTGATGAGGACGAGGATGGTGGCGATGGCAGTCTTGGATAATGTGTGTGCCTGGCGTTCGGCGTCGTGAGGGTTTTCTGGTGGGTCCCATTTGTAGGCCCTGCCCCTGTGAGGGGAGGGCCGACTGGGACACAGTTAAATGTTTGGAGACCGGAGGTGAAGAGACCGGAGCAACTGATTGGCTGCCTCCCACCTCAGCCTTCCCCAGCGACCCCCGGTTCCTTCTCGCCCTTGGTGAAACGCTGACCGACTTCCCGAGAGCGTGCAGGGACTGTCTCCTGGCTGCCATGTCACCTGGCTGTTCAGAGAAACATGAGACGTTCGACAAAACCCACCCGGCACACGCTCTTCTCCGGGTCCCCTGGTCCGTGTCGTCCTAATCACTGCCATGCTGTGTTTTCTGGGACCCTTCCTGCTCCCTCAAGAAAGCAGCTTCGTTTTGCCCTCATTCCCCTTCTGTTTTGTGACGATGGGGATTGCGCCTTCCTGACCCCCGTCTAACACTCATCGTTTTTAATCCCCTGCTGACAAGTTCCCAAGCAGCTGACCTTCCGTTGGCAGAGGCAATGAATCAATCACCTCCGGCTGGTGACAGCTGGCACTTGGGCGACCAGGAGTGGCTAGAAAACGCTGTTTACTGAGGCCCTGCCTCCAGCCTGAGGGGAAGTCACCTTCAGAGCCTCCTGTTGAGGTTGCTTTGAGCCCAGATGGGGAAATCCGTCTCTCAGCAGGTTGGCTGTAGACTCTGCCCTTAAACTCCTGGAGCTTTGGTGAGCGGGCCCATGCCCTTGCCTGGTGGCCCATGCCAGGACGCTGTCCTTCCCTTGATGTATGGCCCGCTGTGTGGAGGCACCCACTGCTGTGAGTGCGAATTGAGGCTGAGGATCCCGTCCTCTGCCCTAGATGGGCCCTTAGGCTCTCTCCAGGTGTGACCACCCCCCTCCCTGGCAAACCGCAGCCAAACCAACACCCAAAAGGTTAACGAAACGTGAGTGGTCAAGTCAGAGCCACTTGCAGCTGACTCTGAACTCATCTCCTATTTGCCCTTTCATTAAAAACCACCCTGAGGCCCAATGACAGCGGTTCCCTTGGGTCTCCTGGCTCTTGCAGAGTCCTCAGAGTTTCGATGGACTTTTATTGTTACAGTCAGATAGGAAAAGCAGGGCGGGGTGTCAGGCCAGAGGGAAATTTCTTGGGAAGGGGACCCAAAGCTGGCCTCTGTTGGTCCCACTGGTGCTGTGGCCAGATCCCAGGACGCCAGAGGCCCTTGGGCCGATGCTGGGGGCGGAGGAGTGCCTTCAGGGCACCAGAGAGCTGAGGGGCAGAACATGCTCTGTGCTCCATCGGGGTAGGGGGGTTGAGACTTCTCACGCTCCCGAGAGTTAGCTGCACCTTGGTGTCCCCAGCAGGGACCAGCGCTGTGTCCATGGCTGTGGTCATTCCCCTTGCCCTTTTTCGAGGGTCCCTTCATCACCTGGTCTGCTCTCCTGGAGGGCAGATCCGGGGGTTAGGTGTCCAGTCACTCAGAGGTCTGCTCACCTGCCCCACAGGTCCAGACCTGCCACCAGCTTGTGGCACTTTGTGTGGACTGGAGAGAGGGGGCCCTCCCTCTGGGTGAGTGGGGGGACGCAGTCAGGCACCTGGCTTGGGGGGCCGAGTGTGGTGGGAGGGGGCACCCACCTGTCCTTTGCTACTTGTCTTGTAAGCTGTATAAATGTCTGATCATCGGGGCGTACTCCTGAGACTAATATAATATCACATGTCAACTGTAATTGAAAATAAAAAATGATTTAGAAAATAAACAATGAAATACAAAAAAGAAAGAAGTAGAAGTTAAGTCCCTGGCGGGGATATAGTGAGTGATAATGAGCGTTTGTCCTGTGTCTGCAGAACTGGTGTGTGTCTGGCACACAGTAGGTGTTCATTAGACACTTCCGAGTAAATCAGATTGAGTCAGTAGGCGGCACGGGGAAGGGGGTTTCCCCAGCTGGCGGTGAGGGAAATGTCGTAGCGTCTGTGGTCCTTACCAACCTCGGCCGGCCGGTCTTCCCAGACCACAGAGCTGTCCCCAGGCCAGCTGCCAGAGACGAGGCCGCCCGAGGGGCAGGTGTGGCTCTGTGGCTTCCTCGTTTGTCCCCTGCCACTGGCCACACCGCGGCGCATCGCCCGGGCTCCCTGGAGGTGTGTATCTGGAGGGGCACTAGCTGGACAGACAGACAGTGTGAGTGAGGACAGCTGCCTTTATAGGGCACTTCAGGCCCCACGTAGCTGAGTGGCCAGGGAGCAAGCAGGCCAGGCCCCACGGGAGTCCGAGACAGAGCCCCTGCTGTGCCTGCTCACAGCGACAGCCTGCCCTCGACCTGGGCACAGACACCGTCCTGGAAGAGGCTGACAGAGCCCGGCAGCTGCCCCGTCTCCCGCCTTTGACTTTGTCAAGTCCCTGTTTCCGTTACGTCCAGTCGCGTCGCCGCTTGGGAGTGTTTTCTGCAAAAGGCGCTTCCCCATCAGCCTCCCCAGGAGGGAGAGTGGGGCAGCGTCCTCTCATCCCGCCGGGCGGGCTTGGAAGTCTCGATCATACAGGTTGGGGGACGGGCCGGGTGCTGGCCAGAGCACCTGCGCCTCCTGTGCTGTGACACTGTGAGACGGGGACTGGCGGTGGCGGCCCTGCCACGTGGGGCTGGCCCGGGGGTGGCCTGAGACCCAGCACGCCGCTCCCCGCCTTCCGGGACCTGGGGCGTCGCTCAGCGGTTTGAGACTTTGGCGGGTCAGTGAGGCTGTGAGTCTGCCTCCCGGGTTCCCCACTGCCCTCCTCCTTGGGAGAATGAGAAGCGATAGCCTCGCAACCCACGCCCAGCAAGATGCTACCTTCCGGTCGATCCTAATGCGCATCAGCTCGAAAGCGCCATTGGTCTTGGGCAGACGTGGTGTACGACTGGCGGTAACGTGGTCACCTGTCCGTGAAGCGCCTCCCAAGCAAGATTTGTGTCCCCGCTAATCAGACACAGGTGATTCTCCCAGGCGGCCACCTGTTTCCTGGTCCCCGCCTTTCTCTCTTTCTCGAACACCAGGGCCCCCCCACCTCCTGGCCTGTGAGGAACCGCGGGCCACACAGCAGGAAGTGAGCTTGAATATAATGCGCCCGGATCATCTAAAACCATCCCCCCACTCCAGTCCATGGAAAAATCGTCTTCCACGAGCCTGGTCCCTGGTGCCAACAAGGTTGGGGACCACCGTGGCACACTGTTCCCTGTTAAGGCGTTGCAGTGTGAATTAGAAGTCGCTCATTTGGTTGCTCCTTCGTTGAGGCTGGCTCTGCGATGTCTTCTTTTAAAAACACCCTTGGTGAAACGTGACCCCCTCACCCTTTGCTTCCCCAGGTCTGTGGGTGACTCTGAAGTTACTCCCTGGAGACGTCCATCAGATCAGGAAGGAGTTTCCCCACTTAGTGGACCGGACCACCGCAGTGGCGCGGAAGACGGGCTTCCCGGAGATAATCATGCCCGGTAAGAGCTGCGACCTTCTGCATTTCTGCACACAGTGTGGCTGCGGCCTGTGTCGGGAGTTGTCGCATGGCTGGCCCCTGGGTGCCACGTGGACGGCGACTGGTGGGAGCCCTGGCGCGCAGAGGGCTGGGCGGGGCCTGGTTTTGCATCGTTTCTGCAGGCAGGTGCTGCAGGTCGGGCCGAGGGGTTGCGGATTCTCTTGGTTATGATGACCTGGGAGGGCTGCAGGGGCGGCTGCTCATGGAGCCAGGTGGGCGCAGGAGGGAGAAGGAAGCACCAGCTTGGAGCCCGGCCCGAGAACGCGTGACGGGTCCCCGTCGGCTGCCAGGGATGCTGTGTCGTCCCTCTGCCAGCAAGCCCTGTGCTGCCCCAGGGTTCTTGTCACCCCTACCCCCACGTGCCGGCTGGGAGGACAGCAGTCACTCCTGGTGACGAGGCGGGGGCCCTCCGGAGGTGGTGTGGGGTTCATAGTCCGGCTCCGAGGTCTGGGTCGGTGTGTGCTTGGCTCCTTCTGGGATGAAGGCAAAGGCTTTGTGATGACAGCCCAGGTTCCCCGGCTCCCCTTAGGGTCCCGGAACAGCGTCGGAACCATCCGGAACACGGTCATTGGGAACGGAGGACGATTTAGGGAGCTGCGCCTGCTGGGCTCCGGCTTTGCCCAAGGCCCCTGGGGGAGGGGGACTAGGTTTGATGTCCCTCACCCCCTGGTCCACAGCAGTGAGAGCGCAGGCCCTGGAGGCCCGCGGTGCTCTGTGGCCGTGGGCAGGGTCCTGGCTGCTGGTAGCTGCGGTTTCTCATCCGAAGAATGAGAATAATCCCAATGAGATGTGGGACTCGAGGGCGTAAGTGACAGAAAACATGAGGCCTGTGCAAATGGACGACCCTGGAGGGTACTTACAGGTCAGCTCTAGAGATTGAGGAAGGGACGGAGCCGGCTTCCCGGTGCGCCTGGAGCCCGGGCCCCTCTCCCTGCAGCTCCCTCTGCTCAGCTGTCGGTCCTCTCTGCTTGACAGCTTCCTCTTCAGGGGGTGCTGCCTGCTGCCCCCCAGCTTCTCCCCAAACCCCAGTGCGCCCTGAAGCACAGGGCGTGCTTTTAACCCAGCGTCCCCATGCCCTGCCTGGACTGCTGGGCAGCTGGGCAGGGACGGGCCAGGTGGAGTATGGGGTCAGCTTCCAAGTGCAAGGGTTGCGTGAGGGAGGCACGGACACCCTACAAATCTGGGTGGACACCTGGGAGAGGAAGGGGGCGGGGCGGAGCGTGAATGTGCGCCCCTGGCACGCGCTCCATTTGTTTCTGTCACGGTCCTGGCGCTGCTGGGCCCAGTCGGAGCTTTTTCAGCCAATTAAACCAAATTCCATGTCAGGATTAGGCTCTCTTATTTAATACTTTTCAGTTTCCAAATAACATTCACATTAATACTTGGATTTGATCCTCAGGAGATCTTAGGCATGTTAATATTTACCCTTTGTGTCCTTGGGATACTTCCTGGTTTGCATGTGTAGTCGGCACTCACGTGAATGGTCTGGTGTTTCCATGTAAGCACCTCGGAGGCCTGCAAACCGGTTGAAGGAATCCCCGTCAAGATCCCGCCGCAGCTCGGAGTCCCACAGCTAAGGGGCGGAGGGGGCCAAGCTGCCCATCGCTGACGCCCTCCCCGTGGCCACCTTTCAGAGGGCTCTGCCGTGTGCTTGCAGGGATGGAGGGACATCCGGCGCGCATGCTGTCACAGTTGCGGCTTTGTTGATTCCAGGGTGGCTGGGGACATGCTCCTCCTCCTCCCTCTGTCTTTCGGGATTGCTGTGGGTGGCAGTGTGTGCCACCTGGTGAGTCAGTAGGCAAGACAGTGACGATTGGCTGGATGGAGTTCGGTGGCCCTGCCGTGCAGGAAGTGTGCCATGCTGCACGTTAGGGAGCTGGGGTGCATCGGCTGCATGCAGCGGTCAAGTCTGTGTGCAGTCCGTTCGCTTGGACTTCCCGGTGGACGCCTGTTTGCATGTGGATTTCGGGTGCAAGTTTATGGGTGGCCTCAGGAGGTCGGTCCTCCTGTTGAAGGAAGGCCCAGGGAACTACTAGTCCACGCCGATCCTGTTTCCCTCGTGACTGAGGCTTAAGAAGCAAGTCTAAGCCACTAAAGCCATCTCACAATAGATTTGTGGGGAGGCCGGGTTCCCAGGGGGTGGGGCTCTGGCCTGAGTGAGTCCCGTGTTTTCTGTGGCTTAGCTGTGGCCGACAGGCCCGTAGGGGAGAGATGGCTTGGGGGGCTGTCACTCGGAGCCCAGGCCTCGGGCCCTGTTTGTTGCCTGCGTCCCATGGAGCCGGGCCTCGCCTCGGCTGCATGGAGGGGCTGCCGGGGGCCTGTGCTGCAGGCCCCCCCCCCAGACACCCTGGAGCCCTGAGGGCCCTGGCGGGGTGGCCGTGTGCCCTGAGTTGGGAAGGTGGCGGAGGCTGGGATGAGGCCCGCAGAGCGAAGGCTCTCTGAGGCCACCTGTGCCTCCTTCCAGCGCCTTCCTCCCCAGATGACACCCTGGAGCCGAGGAGGCGTGTGCTGGGCCTGACTCTGGGGCTTACTGACCAAACGTGGGGTCTCTCTCGGGGGCGGCCCCGTGGAGAGCGTCCCAGGGCCGGCGGGAGAGGGGCACCCTGGCCTTTCACCACCTTCCAGCACCTGTCGGTCCTCCGGCTGGTGAGGCCTCCGGGAAGCTGCTGTCACTATTTGGGTCATGGCTTTTGTGCCTTAATAGACTTTCCAGGCTGAGGGGTCCCACATATACTTCCCTGCCTTGTCGGTGAGCCTGTTTAGCAGTAGGTGGCTAAGTGGGTGGGAGGCTCAGTGGCTCGTTCCAGGTCACCCGGCTCACTGGTGGCAGGTCCTGGACCCGGCAGCCTCGCCCCCCGCCCCTGGCCTGGCATGTCATTAACGACTTTCAGTGTTGGGTTCATGGTGTGGTTGCTCCCTTCCCAGCAGCCTCTGGGGCGGTGGTGGCGACCCACTCGGGTTCTTACAATAATGACTTTTAAATGAAAGCTTAATTTACTAGTTGGATACATCAAAGCCAGAGTAGAACAGGGAAAAAAAAGCGCAAATAAGAAAGCAAGGAGATATTTTTTTTCTCGAGGGATCTTTGTTCTTTGCCCAGAGGGGGCTGTTTGCTGCTCTGGACAGAACTTCCTTGTGTCCCCAGTGGGCCAGCAGGTGGGTCAGCTGTGGGAGGTGGCCAGACAGACTGCCGAGTGGCGGCCCTGAGGTACTGACGCTTCCTCCGCATCACGCTGCTGTTGAAGTTGCTACATTTTCCCAGGAGGACCATGGTGGCTGGGAAGGAAATCTTGAGTTCAGTAGCTGCATTTTTTTTTTTTGCAGAATTTAAGTCCCCTCTCACTTTATAACGCATAGGTCTGTATTGTATGTCCATTCTACTTTAAGAAAAAATAAGACACCCGGGTCTGTTTTCCGACAGCCCCGCCGGAAGGAGAGGAGACCCGGCAGAGGGTTTGGCTCTTGACCCGTCCTGGTCCCTGTGAATTCTTCATCAGCTTTTTGTTCAGCTCCTGAATAAATTGCACAAGAGGCCGGCATCACCTGTTACCCTGTGTCCCAGCTGATGTTACAATGTTCTTTGGCTGCCGAGACTCAGATGGCCACCGCCAGTGGTCTCCCGAGGGGTGGTGACATGGGTTGCAGTGAGCCATGGATGCCGGAGAGGGGCCGGGTCCTCACAGACCCAGAAACCGACCGTCTTTGGTCTGTGAGGGGCATGGGCTGCCCAGGGCAGGAACCAAGCAGATAATTAGGGCTTCGAAATGATGACGAGGATTGCTTTTGTCTTGCCTTTGTGGGCCAAGAGCATCAGCATCGGTAGAAAGTGTTTCACGGCCTCTGATACACTGTTTGCAGTGCTCTGCTGGGGAGGTAGCGGAGAGACAGTGTTGCGGAATTCACGGTGATGCACTGAGTAACGGGTTGGCTTTAAAGGTGTGATTTCCCCCCCAGGTGATGTCCGCAATGACATCTACGTGACGCTGGTTCAAGGAGATTTCGACAAAGGGAGCAAAACCACCGCGAAGAACGTGGAGGTTACGGTGTCCGTCTTCGACGAGGACGGCAAGCGCCTCGAGGTGCTGCTTCTTTTGGAGTCGAATCTGTAGCGTTTAATTGGTCCTTTCTGAGTGTTCCCCTCTGTTCCCCTGCAGACACAGAAAGACCCTCTGCCGACCCCCGGCGGAGCCTCCATTCCTTCTCCCCTTCCTCCAGCTTGTTAGGGGCTGGTTTGCACCAGGTCCTGGCCGCCAGCCTGTCCTGGGTGTCCAGATGCCCTTGTTGGCTCCATGTGACACATGAGGGACCTGAGGCCTAGAGAATTTGTCAGCACTCCGGGCTCAGAGCGCTAGCCAGAGGAGGAGCTGGGGTCTGTGCTTGCACACTGACCTTGTACTCTCCTGGGGGGGGGGTGGCCAGGCCCTGCTCCTGAGCTGTCACCACAGCCAGCAGGACTCAGTGTCCTGAGACGTGCTAAGAGGCTACCCCAGAGCAGGTAGCCCTGCCCCCGCCGAGCAACCTCTGTGGACCGTGGTGGAGGGCGGTCCCTGCGTGTGTTCTCTGGGCAGCCCTGGGCACTCTCCTGCCAGCCGGTGCTGGCCTTTGCCACTTGGGTTCACCCCTGCTGCTCCCAGAGGAGTCGGTGGTCCTTGTTCTCCGCTGGGGAAGCATGGGAGGGAGAGTCACCACCTCCTAAATTTGGTCTGTAGATATTTATTCGGACCTACTGAGTAGATCGGGTGACTTCCTGCACACCCCGAGGACGTCACTGTGAGCCAGGGAGAGAAGGGTGGGGCTCGCCATCCCCACGCGGCACAGCCCTCAGGGTCCGAAACGTCTGGGGGCGAGGTTGGACGCTGGCCGCCGCTGCAGGCATCAGCAGATGTGTCCCCCTTGGCCGGGAGTGCGTCCCGTTGGCGACGGGGTTATCGGGGTTTCTGGGGCGCGCTCGCCGCCCTCTAGCTCGTCTAGCGGGGGCGGGAGGTGGGGGCCGCCGCATGCCACGTCATGCTCCTTGAGAGCTGACTCACACTCCTCACGCCTTCCTTTAAAGCACGTGGTTTTCCCCGGAGCTGGCGATGAGGCGCTTTCAGAGTACAAGTCCGTGATTTACTACCAAGTGAAGCAGCCACGCTGGTTCGAGACCGTGAAGGTACCACTGACATGGTCACTCTGTCCCTCGGGTGGATGACGAGATGCTCATTTGCAGCCTGGGGAAGTGCCCCGCCCAGCAGCCCAGGGGCCGCGGGCCACTGGGCACCGAGCAGCGGCGCAGCTTTCCATAGAGTCCCTTGAGGTTGCTAAGGAACCGCACTGGCATTTCTTTGGAATACATTTACTCTCATTTCCCTTTGAACGTAAAAATAGGACTTTCATGGAGACAAATGACAGAGTCTTTTAAAGACAGTATTGTTTTTCTCTTCCTGGGTGTGCTTTATGTGTGAAATGCTGTCTTCACACCAAATGGAGACAAACAGATGCCTGTGTGCAGAGGGTCTCGCAGGGGAGACGGCCCTGTCCCCGCCGTGGCCCCAGCATCTCACAGCGCCCCTTGCTGATGTCACAGGCTTGAACGGCTGCACAGCAGGCCAGCTGTTGGCCGTGGATGAGTTGTGAGATGTCACAGAAAAGCACCCATCCAGCCACCAAGGGCAGGTCCCGTGAGGGGGTGCAGACACCTCGGGTTTTAGAAACAGAGTCTTAACCATGAGGCTCAGCACTTACCAAACCGGGAACCGTCCCCCAGACAGCTCGGCGCCCTTCACTGTTGCCGTGTTCGCAGTCTCGCAGGGCACTTGGGTGCCTTTGGGAAAACCACAGAGGGGGCTCTGCCTTTCCCCACCACAGCTGGGAGTGGTGCAGCGGGGCGGGTGGCTCCAGGGACCGACGCTGTCCAGGGGCGGCCACGGCGCAGAGGTGTCTAAACTGCCTCTTCCATCCCTACAGGTGGCCATCCCCATCGAGGACGCCAACCGCAGTCACCTCCGCTTCACCTTCCGCCACCGATCCTCTCAGGACTGTGAGTAGTCCGCTCGTCACCCCCTGTGTCAGCGGGAAACTCGGGGGAGACTCCACGGGCTGCGCTTGTTCTAGATTGTTCTGCAAATGTTCTGGGACCTGGGCACCCTGACACCACCAGGCCTTGACACTTCCGCTCACGCCCTGCATTAGCCTGTTCCTGGGGGATGTTCTCGGCCCTTTCGTCAAGCCCCTCACAAGAGATCTCAATTTCCTGAATTTTTCTTGTATTTGCTACTTGCTGTTCTTTTGATTTTCTCTCTTCCATTTTGACTCGCATACCGTCCCATCCGAGAGAAACGTCACTGAGGTCAGCGTGAGAGAAGCAAGGCCAGATGGGCAGCCTGGGGAGCTGGGGGAAGGGCAGAGGTGCGGGCCGAGCAGAGAGGGGTGTGTGCCCGGGGGACCCTGGGGACAGGTTTGTCCTCAGCCAGGGCCGGGGTGGGCTGGAGGCCCCCTGCATGAGTGGAATATGAGCGGGGGTGGGAGTTGGCCGGAGCACAGCTGGGTGGGCTGCAGGGCAGCAGGGCAGCAGGGGCCGCTGGAGGGCACACCGGGGTTCTAGAATCCACAGAGGACCCGTCTCAAAATCTGAGCACGCTCCTGCTTATAACAAGCTCACCCTCTCTAATTAATAAATCACAGCAGGGCAGAGGGGTATCTTCTGTAGCATTTTAATTTCAGAATCTTTGTTTTCCTTGTCAGTTTTAAGTGCTCATTATAGACAAGATGCTGTCACCCGACATACCATGACACATCTGTATAATTAATGAAGTCTCCCGGCCCCAGCTCGTGGGGGCCCAGAGACGTGGCGAGCATCCGAAGTGTGATGCTGCCGAAATCATGAGCTGTCAGCTGCTGGAATGATGGTGGCCCCTGGGGCCTCTCCTGCGGCCCATCTGCATACCCTCTGGGTCAGAAGTGGAAGAGACTGAGGCATACTCTTCCCTCCTAGCAAATCAGAGCTGCTTTCCCCGTAACTGGAGCAAGTGATGGGATTTCTTGGACTGGGATCTGCAAATCCCCCTGCACCCACTTGGAAAGTTAGTTGCCCATGTAACTATGTAACAATCTCCAGCAACTTGTTAGCGATTCCAGAGGCTCCACTCATGTTTTACAGGAACGCGGGCAGATGTGTGGCTTTGGGGCCCGCCTGCCTGCCTGCCAGGAGCTGGTGTCTCCTGTTTGTATGAGGCCTGCTTGGGTGACACAGCCCTGCCTGCTGGCACTTTGCAAATTTGTTATCTACCTCGTACAGTCTGCTAAGGAGCATTACCAAGTGCAGTCCATTCCCTTGCTGTGAAGATGTACAATGTTACTAAAAGTATACCTTTTTATTCTGTGCCACTTTGAGTTGGATCATGGGAAGCCCTCAGTATGGTCCAGGTCTTGTCATGGCTGCTTTCCCAGAGACGTGTGTTATTTATGTATTCTTTTCTCTCCGCCCAAACTTGGAATGGCCTATTGTTTTCATCGGAACATGAAGATATTTCATGTTTTCTAGTGTCCTTTCACAAAGAGCTTTATTTGATCCCTAGGGTCTATATTTTTTTATTGTTATTCCTTTGTTTTTGGTTAGTCAATCACTTACTCATTTACTCAGCATTTGTTGAGCACCTACTATGTGTCAGATACTAATGGGCCCTGGAATACAAAGACTAATGAGATGTGTTAGCTTGGGTGTCAGCATCTTAGGGTAAATATTTTGAGCCCTTGACTCAAGGTGGGTGGACGTGTGCGCCTCTGCTCTTTGACCTCTGGCCTTGCATTTCTAAAAAGAGACTTTCTGACTCTGAGACTCTGTTCCCATGCCATACCCAGACTGCATCTGGAGGGACCCACGAGGATCCGTGTCTTTAGTCCACACTGCCTGCCCGTCCCCTCCCGGTCTGGCCCCTGTGCGCCTCGGAGCGCTCACCATCCAGCCTGGCTTCCGTCCCCAGCCGAGCCCCTCCCTGCTCGAGGGCCTCTGCCTCTGGCCATCCCTTTCCTGGGGGGTTTAGGTCTCAGACCCCCTGTTGTTCATCTTCTCAGAGGGGCCTTTCCCAGCCACCCAGTGGGATCGCCCCTCTTCCCACCTTCCCCGCTTCAACACAGCCCCAAGTTCTGTTCTCTCCGTTACCCAAATGCTGTTGGGTGGCATCGCCCCAAGGAGAACAGGTCTTCCTTGAGTACGTAATCTAGGGTGGGCACCGTCTCATGCCCCGGGAGAGGAGCAGAGTGAAACCCACGTTGTGCCTGCCATTCAGGGTCCAGTGGGGGAAACTGACCATGGATGACAGCAACACACATGCACGCACACGTGGACGTCTGGGCACGGGGTGGAGACGAGGACGGGCTGCTGTCTGTGTCAACTTGGGCAGCCACCACAACGGGCTGCAGATGGGGGTGTGAGGGACGGACGTGTGTTTTCCCCCAGTTCCGGCGGCCGGAAGTCTGCCGTCCGGGTGCCGGTGTGGCTAGGTTTGGGTGAGGACCCTCTTCTAGGGTGCAGATGGCTGCTTCTCGCCGTGGACTCCCGTGGAGGGGGAGACCGCTGGTGTCTCTTCCTCTCAGACGGTCCCTGGTGCTGGGGGGTCAGAGGCGCACCCTTGTGACCTCACCGAACCACAGGCTTACCTGCCGCAGTGTTGCATGCGGTGGGGGCTCCCACATGACCATCTGGGGGACCCGATCGGTCCGTGACGATTACGAGGGCGGATGAGCCAGGCGAGGGGAAAGAGAGAGGCCATGCTACTCATCTCCTGCATCAGACAGGCTGGTCCCTGCCGAGCAGCTGGTGCCTCAGCGGGAACTCGGAGGAAAGGAGGGGCGGAGTCTTGTGGACAGATACCTGGTGGGAGAACCTTCTTGCCAGAGAGAAAGGCCCTTAGTCACCCTGGATTCACATTAGTGCACCTGTGCAGAGGGTGAGGGGGAACCCACCTCTTTTGCTTTTCACACCAATAGCCAGTTTTCTCAGTGAATGGTCTGCCCTCTGGCTGTCCTTGACCATGGCCTGTGCTCCCAGACGCCAGCTCTTCCCAGTGGTTTGTGTATCTCTGGGTTACGAACACAACGTCTCCGTTAGCAACACTTTGTAGTTACTCTTGGCCTCTGGCACTGCGGGCTTCTCTGTAAAACCACCCTGGTACCCTTGGGCCTGGACTTGCGAGTCTGTTTCTGGGATCCAGGAGCAAGCTGGAGATTCTTTCTCATTCCCGGAGATTCTGGTGGGATCGCTTTGAACTCAGGCTGATTTGAGCGTCGTCGACCCTGTTATGATGTCTTCTTGCTGGTCATCCTGGTCTAGTTTTCCCTGTACTGATGTCTCCTTTCAGTCTGTTGATACGGTCTTGTCACTTTTTCCGTCACAGTGGCCCTTGCGGCGCCTCCTGGCGTTGTGTTGCCCGGACAACGGCTGAGGGTGGCTGTTGATTTCTGTTGCAGCCAAAGACAAATCCGAGAAGATCTTCGCGCTGGCGTTCGTGAAACTGATGAGATATGATGGGACCACGCTGCGGGACGGGGAGCATGACCTCATCGTCTACAAGGTAGAATGGGTGACAGGCGCCGGGTGGCAGCGGCTCACCGCGCCACTTCTTCCCGGGCTCCCCGGCCTGAGCCGGCCTCCCCACCTTGGGGAGAATGCCGAGGTCCGGCACCATTTACCTGCGCAAACGCGCATTTCCCACGGCCCACCTTTTTGCCGCTCCGAACGAGAGAAGACGCTGTATGGTAGTAACACGTCAGGTGTTGTGTAAAGTGATGCTCTGTTAACGTGAATTAACCTCCGGGAAGCAGACACCTGGTGAGGAGAAACAGTTCCAACACCTGATAAAGAGCAAATGGCAGGACGGTTCAAAGGATTGAGGGCAACAAGGGGTAGAAAGCCCGTGGGCTGCTGACCGTGGCCCAATCCACCCCACAGGCCGAAGCGAAGAAGCTGGAGGACGCTGCCACGTACCTGAGCCTGCCGTCCACGAAGGCGGAGCTGGAGGAGAAGGGCCACTCGGCCACGGGCAGGAGCATGCAGAGCCTGGGCAGCTGCACCATCAGCAAAGACTCCTTCCAGATCTGCACGCTCGTCTGCTCCACGAAGCTCACCCAGAACGGTGAGTGGGGGCTGGGGCGTCCCCCCAGGGGTCTTCCCCTGAACCCCACCCTCTGCTTTCAGTCGAGCAGGGAGGCCTCTGCCTGTCAGCCCGTCTTTCCTCCGTAGTGGTCCGTGTGGGCGTCGGTGGCCTGGGGAAGGGGGCGACACCCATGGGACTGGAAAGCCCGCACCCCCACTGTGATCTGAGATTAACCTGAAAGGGAAGTGAAGCCCACAAGATCTGGAGTGAGCCTGCGGGCCTGGGGTTGAGAGCTAGACCCCGGCAGTGACCTTGAACTCCTTCCCGTGGTCCTTGTTGTCCTCGTTTGTACACTTGGTCAGTCACTGAGAAGACGACCAGTTTTCTTTAGTTTTAGTCGTTGGTTCTGACGCCACGTCTAGTCCCCCCATCAGTGAGATAAGGTGCCCCCGGCTGATGGGCACACGAAAGCGCAGCCTCGACCCGGCGCCAGGTGGTGCCCAGGCCCCCTTCCACCCATGCCAGCTGCTCCACATGGTCACCTCCGCGTTCGGGCTCCCTGGCCTCATGGCTGTCTGGCCAGGGCCCTTCTTGTTCAGTGCACACTGTCTGGACGAGGCAGAGGTCCCTCAGCCTGAATCCCCCCCGGAAACACCATGTGGCAGCCGTGGCAGGGTGCTCTGTGCTGTCTTGGAAATCAGCTTGAAAACCTGACTCTTTCCTCTTAGCTCCTGGTACAGATTTTGGTGACTAGTGTCTGTCGTTGTCCTGAGTTGTGTCCCTGGGTGTTGCCCATAAACGTGGCAGACGACTCAGATTTGCCCAAGGGACAGTCACCATTTGGACACATAACAGGACAAAAGGAAGGCCATCATCTGGAGGCCACCGCGTGTGGCCGTGGGAGGTACACCAGGTGTTGGGGCGCACGCCCTTTCCCGACAGCCCCCACCTCTGTCTGCATCCTGCGGAACCGGGCTGTTCCCGCTGTGCTTCCTCACCCCTCCTGAGCGTGAGCTGTGTGGGGGAGGGGCCGCCTCTCAAATGCACAGAGTCACTGGGATACACGTCTCTCATATCCCACCTGGAACGCTGTGAGCTGTCCTGGCTCACGGGCGTGCAGTCACCTCCCTGAAACCGGGACAGCCCTCCCCCAGCTGCTGGGTTCTGTGTGCGGCGGGGCCGAGGCTGTGCAGGCCTCTTCCGGTTTGGTGCCAGCAAGCACGCGGCCTGGAGGTGCGGGCTGGCTGGGGCTGGGTTACGGAAAGGGTGCCCCCAGGCCAGACGTCACGTCCTCTCTGGACGTGGTCTGATCGTCCACGGGCCTGACAGCTGCCCCCAGGACCTCACTTAACTCGGGGCCTCGGCACCTGCCCGGTGAGGGGCCGTCCTCCGTGTGGTCTGACCACAGGCGCTGACCATTGAGCTCTGGGTCTGCTTCACTGTGGAGGAACCACCAGCTTACACACATGGGCCATATTCTTTATTTTTTAATTTTTATTTGTTGATTTGAGAGAGAGAGGGAAGGAGAGAAGAAGAAGAGGAGAGAAAGAAAGAGAAAGAGGGAGAGAGAGAAGCCTTGATCTGCTGTTCCACTCATCTGTGCACTCGTTCCTCGTTCTCGTCTGTGCCCTGATGGGGCATCGAACCTGCAGCGTTGGTGTACCAGGGCAGCACTGCAACCGTGTGAGCTGCCCAGCCAGGGCCCAGGTGGGCCATACTCTCTGTGCACGTTTAGAAGTTGTTACTTGGAGCTTGGGTGTATTTTCTCCATGAAACAATTTTTCTGAATAGCAGTTAAGTCGTGAGACCCATCACAGTCCTTCTGAACCCACATACTCCCGCAGAAGAAGACTGGGAACTAGGAAATTCCCAAGGTATGAAAGCCACAGAAGTCTCCCAGGGGGACAGTCCTTTCACCTGGGAGCCTCTTGACTCTCAGCCGGCCCAGGGTCCGGTCCCTGCTGGGAACTGAGGGGTGAGGCCCCCAGTCTCCCAGCAACCGTTGCTGGGCAACAAGGAGATTCTGATGTGAGCTGCTCGCTATGAGTTAAGGGGACACCTTTTGGCTTTAATTTCACCCCAGCCAACGATTCCTCCTGTGGGGTTGGTGGCCTGTCAGGTGTGTGCCAGACAGGGCCTCCCCAGCTGGCATTGACCCCAGACGCCCAGGTTCTCACAGGAGAGTCAGCTTTCTGTGATGCCTTCCGCTCTGCTTCGCCCAGGTGCACGCTCGCGCAGACGCAGGGTGCAGAGGCGGCCGCAGCCCGCTCACGTCCACGGTGCTGCGAGCTTGCACGGATGGGACCTGCGTTGTTAACTGCTGTTAAAAACACTGGAGACTCCCGAGTAAGGAGGTCTCCGAAAACCCGGGGATCTGGAGCATGTTGGTGGGATGTAGCCTTTCTCACCACTTCCCTGTCAATTAGAAACAAACGCACCTTAACTGTCACCATGTGTGGCTAACATTCTCAATCGCCGATCATCTCTCTGATGGGCGGTTGCCATTAGTCTTGATGGTGGGCATTGTGCTGAGCCTCCACGTCCTGCCGTTTAGTTCGTGCACCAACCCCGCGAATGAGTGAACATTGTATCCATTCTTCAGAGAGGAAAACAGGTGATGATTCCTGCCCTAGGCCCTACCTAGCGCCCGTGCTTTGCACGTCCACAGTTACTTGGCACGCTGCGCACTTTATATTTCACCGTTTTCAGCCCTGCCGGCCCTACGCAGGGCAAGGTCCCAGGAGCGGGGACGTGCAGATGTTTTGGTGCTCACCAGAGGTGCGTCTGTGCCCCCGAATTCCACTTGGGGTGTTGTGTTCCCTGAAATTCCACCTGTTGCCAAGATCGTGTTTGTCTTTTCAGTATTTCCTAGGGATTTGCTTGGGGAGGCAAACTCTGCAGCTGCAGTTTGTTCCCGATGAGCATCGATAGGAAATCGGGTGCCCTTCACTAATTGTGTTTTTGCATGTAACGGGTCTCATGACCCGTTGACCCTCGACCTCCCCTAGAGAAGTGCTGGGTCTGCCTCCTCGCCTTACAGTCTCACTGCCTTCAGGTCCTTCGGGCGCCGTCCTTTTGCATCTTACACAGCTTACACGTCTGGTCTGTGAAAGCCCAATACATTCGGCTGGTGGGTTTTCAACTGGACAACAGACCACAAGAAACAGCTGTGGACAGCCGGGCCTGCGTGGGGTCAGCGGGCTCTGCACCGCAGTGGTCCCCAGGGGCCAGGGTCCCTGTTCCCTTGCAGCATCGGGACCTGAATTTATGTTCCTTCTTGTAAATTACTTTCTGTGAACAATGCAACAATAGAGTTTCACTCCGAAACTCGGGAGAAGCGGCCAGCACGGCGTCTGGCAGGTGCGTGCGTCACCTCTCTGGCCCCCTCCTGGAGAGGGACCGGGCCAGGCCGCCTTTCTCAGGCTCCCGAATGACCCTCGCAAGTTGTTACGTGGAATGTAATGGAGTGAATGGAGGTGGAAGCAGTGAATGCGGCCCCACTGGGTGCCGGGCGGGTGCTCCAAGTAGTGGCACACGTAGCTGGGGAAGATTCCCAAAGAGGGTGGGTTTTCTGTCGCAAAGCTTACGGAGCGGCCTGGTGGGCGGTGTGCACACCGCCGATGAGGCTTCGCAGCCAGGAACTGACCTGCCCTTGTCTTTCAGTGGACCTTCTGGGGCTCCTGAAGTGGCGGTCCAACACCAACCTGCTGCAGCAGAACCTCCGGCAGCTGATGAAGGTGGACGGCGGGGAGGTGGTCAAGGTGACTCGGGGCCCGGGCGTGGGTTCGATTTGTTTTCCTCCTCTGTGTTTTTACTGGCAGCCACTTCCTCCCGAGGGGCCGTGCGGTTCTGGTTTTGACCCCTCAACAGAGAGCTCCCTTGGGATTGGTGTGCACCTCTGAATGGATGGGATCCTCCCGGGACCCCACTGTGGGGTGGGGCTGCTTCACAGGAAAGGCCGGCCTTGGGTTCTGGCTCCTCCCACAGGTCCTTTCTGCCGGGCAGACGGAAGTACGTGGCCTCATTCAGCTGGTCTTTCCCTGCTGTGAGAGGGGAAGCAACTGTGCCTCTACAGAAGGTCACGGTGGGGGTCAGGGCCCTCGCCTGCCTCGTGGGGAGCACTTGTGGTCATTACCTGACTGTGTTGGCTACTCACCTGCAGCTCCTGAGGCTGACCTGGGACCAGGTGCCGGAGGCTCGTCCGGGCTGTTGTCCCACCTGCACCCTGGCACCGATTCCTTCGCCTCCCACAAAGCAGGCTCTGGAGGGAACGTGAGGGGTCCCCTCAAATCTCTGCAGGACCAGACAGTCAGACGAGGCTGGAGTCCTGCTTTATTTGGGGTTGCTGCTGGTTCTGAAGTTTTCTTCAATATCAGGGTCTGCTTATCTCTTTTTCGCCCAGATAACTTGCACAAAGCAAATGCACGCTCCCCTTGGCTGGTGAGTGAGGAGCCGGCCCCCCACTCGGGGCGTTCTGTGAGCGAGGTCTCTGCAGGCTGTTCCGGCCTCCGTGCCTCCCCCTCCTCTGGAGATGCAGAAGGAGACGGGCTCATCTCTGTAGAAATTAATCACATAAAGTGGCTTCAGTTAAACGGCAGCACGGTCCGCGTCAGTATAAATTACTTTGGTTGCCTCACTTTCCTAACAATTTTGTTGTACAACCATTGAAATGCCCCCTGTTCTCCGTTTTGAATCATCTTTTTAGGTCCTTGTCAGCTACCCTCGAGGGACCCTGTTAATTGCATTTTAAACGCCCCTGGGTCCTGCCAAGTCCCTGATTCGGGGGGAACCTAGGGGAAAGAGTTGACATAACTTCAGAAGATACCCAGTTAATGGAATTCCGTCCTCTGCCATTTTCAAGTTCCTGTGTCGCATCCGGAACTGGTTGTACTGCTGTTGGCCCGTGGCCGTCCTCGCCCCGGGAAATCGGGGACTGGCTTACGCTGTTCTCCGTTCCCACGATCTCGTCTACGATCCGATCGTTTTTCCCTGGAATGGTTTTCACATCTCTGCCCCGGGGGCCAGGTGACCTGTCTGCACCCACCTCATTGGAATGATGCTTCCTTGGCCAGTGTCGCCTCTGTGCCCTTAGGCCTGGAGAGGTGAAGCAACTTGTCTCAGGTCACCCAGCTGATCCTGGGAACCAGGCCCAGAGGGGTCCCCAGCTTGCCTGGGGGGCACCTCTTACCCTGTTGACTAGTAGACTGTGGGTTACTTCCGTGTGTTCAGGGCCTTTCTTCTGCGGAATAGAGAGATGACATTGCCTGATAGATTGAGAAAAGCATTTACATATTTAGTGGGGATACCATTTCCCATTGGGTAGTTTCGGTTCTCCCGTGGAGCTGGTCTCAGAGAGAGCGTGCTTGTCCACAGGAGACCTTCTGTGGCCCCGTGGGCGGGACCTCCTCCACAGTGCTTGCGTCCCTGCACCACTGTGGCCACGGCCAGGTGAACAAGGCCACCACTCCTGGCTTTTGTGCTCTATGCTGTGATCATGTCACTTGTCTGGGGGAACCATGACGCACCAGGGCTCGGCACCTGGACAGTCTGTCGGCAGTGACTTCAGGCGGCTCGCAAATGGCAGAGTTTGGATTTTGCAAAGACCTTACCATCTGCAAAGGGTGGGAAGCAGTTCAAAAGTAATTACAGTTGAGCTCGTTGTCACTGGACTGACGAGACCAGGAAAGGGCTGGGGAGGGCCGGCCGGAGGGACTCCCCTGCTGCCAGCCCCGCCGTTGGACGCAGCGCACCTGCGTCTGTGTTTGAAGTCACTTGTCTCTGATTTTTGTCTTGTGCGTCTGGTGGCTGGGAAAACCCTTGAAGTTCCCAGTGTCGTGGGTGATGCTGGGCCACGGCGGGGGTGAGGGCAGTGCCAGAGCTCACTCTGTCCCCTGGCCCCTGTCTCTGCAGTTCCTCCAGGACACCTTGGACGCCCTGTTCAACATCATGATGGAGAATTCCGAGAGCGACACTTTCGACACGCTCGTGTTCGATGCCCTGGTAAGAGGCCCCCACTTCCCCTCCAATCAGACATTCAGATGCCCTTCCACACGGCTGCCTGTGATGCTGGGCGAGGGGCCCGTCCCAGGGGCTTTGAAAGCATTGCCCTGTACGTCCGGTCAAAGCAGATGAATGGAGAGCCAGGTGGTTTCTTCCAGTCTCGCTCTGGCCAGTGCAGTGTCTCGGGGGAGGAGGGGTCAGCCGGCTGACCGGCTTCTGTCCAAGACTCTTACGGTTCGTTGAATCACATGGCGGGGACGATGCAGATGAAGGACCCCAAAAGGGTTTGCGTTACCTTGCTAACGACAGTATTGGTTGATGTCACAGGTGTTTATCATCGGACTCATTGCTGATAGAAAATTTCAGCATTTTAATCCAGTTTTGGAAACTTACATTAAGAAACACTTCAGCGCAACTTTAGCCTACACGTGAGTTCTCTTGGTTGTTTTCAAACCGAAACTTTTCTTTTTGTATGTTTGTTATTAAGAGTTTCTTTCATATGCTTTTGTCTATGATCATACATTCCCCTCCTCAAAACGCTGAATATACTGGGATAATTTTTATTATTGCTTCCCTCTTAACAGAACTGAAAAATCTTGTCCAGAGAGGTACGTTGTCGGTCATTCTAACATTCTGGACTAAATTCTTTCTGTCCTCCACGTCTTCTGTCTGACTTTGCTCACATCGGACGGAGTGGAGAGATGGGCAGCGTGCCCACCCCCCTGCAGCTGCCCAGCGAGACCTTGTGAATGAATAAATAAACTCGTGTGTTCTTGTTTGGAGATTATGGGCCATTTCGTGTCAGTGAAGTTCAGTGTGGTACTTTTCAGTGCACCGTTTTGTACATGAAAGAATGCCTTCCCTTTTGTTCCAAAAGCTCCCGCCATGACCAACTTGGATTCTTGATGCCTCCCCCAGCTGCTCTGGACGTTGTAGGTGCCCCCGTGAGTCTTGTCCACACCGCAGGGCGAGTCTTGTCCAACCCGCAGTGCCGGGTTGGGGGCACAGAGCCCACTCACCCAGTGCTGAGCGTCACGGTCCTGGGGCTCGGCCACCTGGGCTGAAATCACAGCTCTGCCCCTTACAAGTCCATGGTGCTCAGCTCTCCGGTTTCAGCCTTGGTCACTGGTACAATGGGCACAGTTACAGGTTTGCTGAGCATTCGAGTGAGTTCTTCTGTGTCAGCTGTTTGGAATACTCCCTGGCTCCTGGAAGCACTGGGTGGGTGTGAGGTTTCGCTGTTATTAGAGCCACTGGAAGGCAGTGCCTTCTGTCTCTGACCATGGGGTTCACGGACATTTACTCAAACTTTTAGCTGTGTGAGTTGCAGAGAGAAAAGAGATTTAAGTCATTTCTCTTTTAAATGCACTTTTGTAAATTGTAGTTGACAGACAGTGTTATACTAGTGCCAGGTGTACCGCGTAGAGATCCGACCTAATTCCCGTAAGAACCTCTCCTGTGGAATCAGTAGAACAGTTCAGTGCCGTTAAATTGGGTCAGAGCTCCCAGCTGGGCCTTGACCACACTCAGGTCAAAGCTGGGGTGCAGCCATGAGCGTGAGGCCAGAGGTCCAACCCGGCCAGTCCTGGCACCGGGTTCTCTCCTGTACACGTGAGGGCCTGTTTAGTGGGGGTGTCACGAGGGGGCTGAGAGCAGTGAAGTCCCCACGCACACAGGACAAGCTGTGGGGGCTCTGTGTGTTTGCTCTGCTCCAAACCTTCTGTTCCGCCAGTGGTGGTGCCCTGTTTGCCTGACCTTGGGACCACTGCTTACAGACGGTTGAGGGGGTCCACGTCCTGGTCTTCCTCTGGCAGCCCGAACACAACCTGGGTGGGTGGACAACGTGCCGGCAGCTGCCCTGGGATGTGACATCATCTCCGCAATTCTGCTTTTTCACCAAAGTGTGGCCAAACAGCCCTCTTGGGATTAGAGACTTCATTCCCAAAACTCAGAACGGTGGGTCAGCAGCCGCACCGCAGTCTGGGTCCTCGGTGAGAGCCAGGGCCAGTTTGTGGGCGGGAGAAGCAGAAAGTGCCGTTTATCTTTCCTTGGCGATAAGATCGATTAAAGGTGGCTGTAGGCAGTGGGTCCAAGTCTCATAGAGCCCCTCTGTGTCTGTCCTTCACCGGAGGAGCTGGGACTCCATCAGGGTGGCCAGGGCTGGGCAGGGAGGGTGCCATCAGCTTGGGGACCGTTCTTCTGGTCCCTGAGGGCTTTCTGTCCAGCGAGCTACCTTCCCTGGAGCTGGCGCAGACTTTCCTGCCGTGTAAGCGATGCCCCCTTTGCCCTGGACAGCCGACGTACGGGAGGTCCCCGTCGCAGCGGGAAGTTCTGTTGGGCCACCCCCACTTGAGTAGCTTTTTCCTTTTATTATTAAATCTTAGAAATGCAGAAAAAGTCTTCCACCCAACTTAACCCTTGTTTATTTTAAACCATCTCAGCAAACTGGGAACAGAGGGGAGTGTCTTTGGTGTGGCAGGGGACACCAAAGCAGAAGCACAGCTCACCTGTAACTCAAACACATCTGAAGCGTCTGCCCTGAGTTTGGGGACGAGGGGTGTCTGTTCTCTCCACCCCTTTTGATTAGCTCGAAGTAGGGCAGCAAGGCAGGAGAAATAATTAAGTGTCTAACAATTGGAAAGAGAGAAGTAGAGCTGTCTTTATTTTCACATCAAGTGATTGTCATGTGCATACCAGTCCCTCGGGGATCCATTTGTAAAGAGTCCCTTTCCCCCAATAAACCACTAGGATCCAAAGCTAATGTAAAAAACTCAGCTGTACATATGCAGATAATTAGACCATGAAGCTGAAAGTGCAATATAATTTACATACTATAAAAAGGTCATTAATAAATTTAGTCAACAATAGATTGGACTAAATGTAATTTTCTACCCAGAAAATTACAAAGCGTCGCTGAGAGAAATTTGAAAAGAACTAAATAATTAGATAAACTGCTGCCGAAGTGTGTATTTCCTCAAAGTCACCCATAGTTTAATGTGATCCCCATCAAAACCCAAGCATGCTTCGTGAGAAAAACTGACCAGCCTGTTTGAAAAACTTGACATAGAAATGCCAAACGTCTAGAAGAACCCAAAAGTTTTTTTCAAAAAGTGGCTCTGATCTCACGACTCACCGTGTGGCCGCGGAAGCCGGGATGGTGTGGCCGGCTCGACCATCAGTGTGGACTGACGAGGCGGACAGAGGGTGATGGGCAGGGAGAGTGGGGTGCAGCAAGGCACGCCCCCCACTCCCCACAGCTGCTGGTCTGGAGCTGCTGTGCTCTTTGAAAAGAAAGGAACCGCATAAGTGGCCATCATTCCATGCGGGTGGGGCTGCGCCGTCCCCCCACGCGCCGGCCCCCCACACCCTGGCCCCCGTGTTTGGTATTTTAGCTGCTGTGCAGCCGGGCATTGTGAGGACGTGGCGAACTTTACCGAACCGCCTCACAGGGCAGACGTGGGCAGGACGCCTGTGTTTCCACCACTGTAGGCGTGGCCGCAGTAAACGCCTTTAACATTTGTCCCTGTTCCTGCAGAGTGAGGTGCCAGGGCAGTCGCTGGTGCGTGAGGGTTTGAGTCCTGCTGATGGGGACAGGCAGGACCGGTCTGTTGGCCGGAACGCGGAGCGGCCGTCGGACCGCAGAGTCCGGCTTCCCCGCGTCCTGTCCGGCCACCCTCACCTCAGTCTGTTTTGTGTCCCCGAGGAGGTAAACAGCAGACGCACTGTTTACTTTGTCACTTTGAGTTGCGTGCATCACTCTCTAACAGGTGGACGTTTCTGTGACTCTGGTCTTTCCCTGCGATACACCTGGGCATGCCTCTTGGACTCTGTCTTCTTGTTTGTTTTTAATGAACCGTTTCATATAGTCTGACGCTGTGAGCATATGGACTGCCACTTGGACTTTCTGGTTATTTGAGTTACAGACAAATAAAAAAGTTTTAATGCTTTTTCTTTTATTTGTACCAGGGATTTTTTTAAAAAAAAATAACTTATGAAAGAGGCACTTAATCTAACTTAAGACGCTGTGAATTAAAATCAAGCTTTCAATATGTACTTTATTCGTGCCAACTGCCTCTAATTACTTACATAATGATGTGGAAAATTTAGAAATAATTGGCACCAATTTTGGTGTATTGTAAACCAAACTTCTATTATCACGAAAAAAGGCTTTAAATGTTTTCATGTTAGTGTGTTACTTGTTTTTAGATGACAGATTATAAGAGACTCTAAGAGACATATAGTCATTGTACATTTACAACGTAATATAGTCAATTCTATTAGAAAATGTAAAAATTATAAAACTTTTCATGTGATACCCATGGTATTTACATGTTGTTTATAGTCTTTTATATGGAGGTTCTTAGAAAGCTCATTAAGAAATCAAGAATGTTTCCTGTTTGAAAAGTTGGTAGTAAAATTTTAATTTTGTGTGTAAGTAGCCTCGTTTTAGAAAATGACCTAGAGGTCGCTGAAATGGTTCCCAGGAACACCTCCTGTCTCGTGCTGTGATGCCTTCTTCGAGTTCTGGTGAAACCCACATAACACAAAATGCAACATTTCAATATTTTTGAGTGCGCAGTTCTGTGCACACTCTTCGCACTTAGTAGATTGGGTGTTTTGGGAACATTATTTAGTTCCAGACCATTTTCAGTCTAATGTGAAAAAGATTTATTTCTGTGCCTCTCTTGGGCTATAAAGAAGATCCTTTGATCTTTTCATGTCGCACTGGGGGAGCTGGTGTTCCTCTCCTGACCCGGTGTCTTCCTGTGCAAATCACTCGATTACACGATGCATCCCAGTGCTCAGAAAGACGTGTGAAACTCCAAGCGCCTGTTAAGTGCTCGGGTCATGGGGCCCCTTTCCTCTGTGCAGACTGCATTTCACACATGTGCAGGGGCTGATCCGTGGGAGCCCCCATAAACGCGGCCCACGGGCGTGTGTCCGTCCCAGCGAAGCCCTGAGCTGTCGGCGTCCCGGGGGCTGAGCTGTTCTGTTTCCTCTGTGACTAGGAAGCTGACGAAAGTGCTGCGGAACTACGTGGACAATGCCGAGAAGCCGGGCGTCAGTGAGCAGCTGTACAAGGCCATGAAGGCTCTGGAGTACATCTTCAAGTTCATCGTGCGCTCCCGAGTGCTCTTCAATCAGTAGGTGTCCCCGGCCGGCCCTCCGGGGGACTCCCTGGAAGTCCCTCACATCCTTCCTTCCCCTTCTTTTGTCCCCTTCCTCTTCCCCCTTTTCTTTCTCTTCCTCTCCTCTTTCTCCTTCCTTTCCTGGGTTTCTCAGCGGGCGGAGCAGCGGTAGACAGCTGTGCTGGGCCAGGGTTGCACGCAGGGAAGCCAGCCCTGATCCCGAGTCGGCAGCGTGTCCACGGGAGTCAGCAGTGGGTCCACACTGTCCACTGGACGTGTGTTCAGTGCTTCAGAGCCCGGTGTGTCTGGGGCTCCTGGAGTTCTTTTCCGTGTACCTCCATGTGTCAGCACCCAAAGGACGCACAAAATGGAGACAAACCGGCCACCACAGGGAAAAGCCACCCACGTCCAATGGCCTCGCTCGGGCAGACGGCAGGCTTCCTCCCTCCCTTTCCTTCAGCCGCAGTGCCATTTACAGAGACACGTTCCCACGCAGGAAGGTGTCGGGTTGGGTGGATGCTCAGTGGCTTCGGTTTAGGGGCGTTTTACATGCTGTGTGGATGGATTTGGGGAGTGGTTTGGAACTTTATAAAGTGAGGTGGTGCGTGTAGGACTGTGCTGTGGATAGAGAACATCGATATTTGTGTCTGTCGTAGATTAAGAGGTGTGCCAAAGTAAACAGAACTTGGCGCTGGCCCACAGCGGTGAGTCGTGAACGGAGTAATGTGGGGAGCAGGTGGACCGAGAGCCGGGGCGCAGGAGCTGACGCGCCCACTTGTTTCTTTTGGAGGCTTTGGGTGACGTGCGGGAGTGACGTTGGTGCGGGTCGGTTCTTCGAGGTTGATGCCTTCCTAGTGAGTCCTAAACACAGAAAGAAGTTTGTGGGCCGGCGTCCCTCAGAGTTAGACAGCCCGTGTCACCTTTTACAAGCACCGCACTCGGAAGCATCAGCAAAAACTGGGAAACAGGCCTCTTTCTGGACCTGCCTGTTCGCTGCCCGGAATCTTCGTTTGCCTCCCCCAGTGGGAGGCCCGGGGAAAGCGAAGGTGTTCGAGACCCAATCCAGTGCCTGCCCTGGCTCACGGAAAGCCAAGGGAACACGGTACTCGTCTGCATGGAACTGTAACGTCACACACGGGGCACGGGGGTGTCCACTGATCAGTGACTGCAGCCCCCCTGCTGCCGGTCATAGGGTCCACTGCTCTTGTTCCTCCGGAGTTCTCGTGGTGACAGCAGCCATCATGACGCCGCACTTTTACGGACGGAGGCTCGAGGTTTGAGGCCACTGGACTGATCCTTGGCTGGAGTGTCAAAGACACGTGCTGTTACTTTGTTTACTCCAGACGAGACCGAACCTTGGTTTGGACCGAAGCCTTCCCTTTCCGGAAGGGTCAAAGCCATCGACGTTGTCACTCTCAGATGTGAGAGGTTTTGTTTTCCTGTATTTTATTTTCTTCAGTAAAGTTAGTGCTACTGAAATGAACTTACTACCCTTAATCTTACTAGCACATGCTTCCCTAGTAATTGTTTTTTTAAGATTTCATTTATTTATTTTCTAGAGAGAGGGGGAGGGAGGGAGAAAGAGATGGAGAGAAACATCCATGTGTGGTTGCCTCACGTGTGCCCCTTACTGGGGACCTGTCCCGTAACCCAGGCACGTGCCCTGACTGGAAAGCAAACCGGCGACCCTTTGGTTAGCAGACTGGTGCTCAATCCACTGAGCCACACCAGTCCGGGCTGTTTCTCCAGTAATTCTAAATCTTTAATTACACTAAACCCAAAGCTACACTCAGGTGCGAGGATAACTAGAGAGACTGGAACGGTTGGGTGCCATGTGATTGATTCGGCCTTGTTTCATTTGAACAAATGATCTTGGACAGTTTGTGATCAATGTGACCTTGAATCAGGGCTGGGCTGACACTGGTCCCCTTCGCGCACTGCCAGCGTCCCCTCTCACTCAGAGGCCAGTGCCCAGAAGCACGCCCGGGCCGCGAGTGCGTTCCTGCGGTGGCAGTAGATGCTGAGGTCTCACCCAGGACACTGCTGCTTAGAGAAGACGGAGCCACCCGAGTGGACCGGGCGCCAGTGGTGTCTGTCTCTGCAGCCTCTTTCTCTCTGAGCATCCAGATGGCATTAGAAATATGACAGAAGTCCCTGAGTTTGACTGTAGAGTGATGAGGAACGTGGCTGGCCGCATGCCACAGAAAAGCCTAGAACCTTTACCAGAGGAGGTTTTCCTTCCTCTTTTCCTTCCCCCCTTCCCTCCCAGAGGACGAGTCCGGAGCTCGCGCCCTTGCCCTGCGCTGCCCCCCTGTCCGTGGCCCCTTGTATCTTCCTGCCCCATCATCCTGCGGGTCTTTCTTTTCCCTCATGGCCCCGAGGGGGCTCCTGCCCCTCTTGGCATCTGGACTGTGCTCCTGGCAGCGGAGGGGACGAGGTGAAGGGTAAAGGGCTCTCCCAGCCTCTCTTCTTTTAAAGAGCTTTCCCCAGGCACTACAGAGTCACGCGTTTTTACGTTGTCCAGAAGCGTGTCACACGCGCGCCCCAGCTGTGGAGGGCTTTGGAAGGGATTTTTAGATGGGCTCACGGACGCTTTCAACAAAGTCAGTTTCCTAAGTGAAGAGCGAGTGCCCAGGGTGGTAGGCAGATGTCGGGTAGGCAGTTGGCGCTTCCCTCTTCCTTCTCCTCACCCAGAATTTCTGTTGCCGGGCAGCTTGCAGCGCTCCTACGTAGTCGGGGTTACTGACCCCTCCTTCCTCGGGCTTCTCGGAGTCTTCCCTTCCCCAGTAGCTTGGGAGTCAATCCCGGAGACTCCTGGCACCAGGTATCTTGGGCTTTATATCTTTGGAGTGTTGAGCGACCTGTGGGAGTGAGACGCCCAGCACGCCTTGGTCTGGGACCCAGGAGGTGCCCCGTGTCTGGCCTCCTGAGGACCACCTCTGTTCTCGGTGGCAGCAGGCTGCTGGCCCCAACCGTGGCCCTGGTGCCAGCCTCTGTCCTGGAGGGGCCCTGGCAGGAGGCAGGCCTGATTCCAAACAGAGCGTGTCACCTCCTCCCAGAAGACACAAAGGACGAAGAGGTCAGAACAAGCAGCAGCCGTGGCAGTGAGGTTTGCTCAGCCTCCTAGTTCCCAGTGCTGGGGTTCCTGACCTCATCTGAGTGGGTGCTGCAGGGTGGGCTCCCTCCCTCCCTCCCTCCCTCCACCTATTCCTTCCTCCATAACTGCTTCATGAGCTTTGCAGCCTGGTCTGTATCCCAGAGGAGTCATTCACTGATCTCACTTTTTTCTCCCACGTTTCCTGAACGTGCGCTGTGGCTGCCTTCGGCACTTCCCGAGTGCACGGATGGACAGACGCCTCCCTCGGCTCCCAGAACACAGTCCTAGCCACGCTGCGCCGAGAAGGTGCTGCTTCTTGTGTTTGAACCTGCAGTCTGAATCTGCAGAGTGGAGGTTTAGTGCCTCAGGGATTCTGTGCTCGGGCAACCGTGGCCTTCAAGTCACGGACGACAGGACCAGAGACTTCCATCCTGTCCTGTTGTCTTGGGCCAGTGCCCCGTCCCCCTGCCCCACCATTCGGGGGCACTTCATCTGGGATAGCAAGGACATTTGTTCTGGGTGAAAGGAGACTCCTGTTTTGTCTCCGCTGCCCAAAGGGAAAGTGGCCCTGTGCCCTTCCCAGACGTCCACCCCAGCTGGCCCCTGACCAGGCCCTGGTGTGGTGTGTTAAGCAGTGGGGGGGGGGGGGTCCAGGCCTCTCCTGGTCTTGGCCACAGCACATTTCGTACCGAGGGAGGAAACAGCTGTGCTCACAGCTGGAGTTGACAAGCGCGTCTTTCCTTTTGCCGTTGGAATAAACTTTGGAGGTCTTTTTTCCCTTTTTCTTCTTTCAAAACGGTCTGCTGTATTTTCACGGAATGTAGCAGTTCTGTAAAATGCCAGGGTAATTGACAGTCGTAATTGTTCTTCCGGAGAACGAGGAGGGGAAATTGGGAGGTGGGGATACGGAAGCCTGGCACCGTGACCTGCTAGCTCTCTCGCTGTGCACATCCATGCCTGCTGTTCTGCTCAGAAAGGTCATCGCATTTTGAAGTGAGAACAGCAGATTTCAAGCTCTGGCCCAGAGACGCTCGGTTCCCGGGGAACCCCAGATGGATTCCTGACAGCAGGGTGGTGGGGGCTCTTCTGGCGGGTTTTTGTTCGCCTGTGTTCTCTGCGTGGGCGGATCACATTAACTAGGAAGCCGGCAGACCCATGCATCTGATCAGACCTTCAGAATGAAATTGCCAGAGCTCGTCATCACCGTGTTCCCCTCTGAGTCTCCACGCTTTGCGAGGGTTTGGCCGGTCGTCTGGCGTCAGTGTTGTGTATAATTAGTTATTGATCACGAATAAGCTGCTGCAGGTCTGTCATTTTGCTGTTGTTTCCCCTGGTAACGGAACGAAGATGTAGGCTGTAGATAAAGATCTTGTCATTCCTTGTTTATGAATACTTATAACAGGACTGGGGTTTATTCTCCCATGTGTGCATGGGCCGCCTCTGGCTTCTCTCCCGCCCCCTCACCGTGGGCCAGCCGAGGGACTCTTTGCTTTATCTGATGAAACCAGGAGGGGAGCCCGGGGACACCTCCCTTTCGTCACAGAAAAGTGCTTCGCATCATTTATTTCATCTTGGTGTCTGGAGGATACTTCCACTTAGTGAGGAATTCCGGGGGGCGGTTGTTTTCTTCCCCAGATGCTGTCCCACACTCTTTTGTGTTCCGTAATTTCTGCTGAGAAGTCAGCTCTCAGACTCACTGTTGTGCTTTAGAAAGGAATTTTCCTTTTCCTGTAGCTGCTTTTAGTTTTGCTCATTTTTCTGTGGTTATGAGGTTGGCAGTTTCACTGTGGCTCGCATAGGAATACTTCGTTTTTTATTTACCCTACTGTTACCAGACCGCTTCCACACGGGGGGCTTCCACATGGGGGGCTGGCCCTGCACCCCGCCATCCAGGACCTTTCTCCTGTCAGGGGACCTCCAGGTTCTTGATTTGCCCAGGCGAGATTTCCGGGACAAACCAGAGTGAGAACAAGGTGCATTTTGTTCAGGTGGAGAAAAGAAAGAGCCCAGGCGGCTGCTGTAAAGATGGGAGAACAGCAGTCCCGGTGGGTGGGGTCAGTTCCTCCTTGGGACTGGATGTGTTTTGTCTCCAGGCTTGGTGGCCCCAAATTCTGGCTCCGCCTTCTGGCTGGGAGCGTTTTGTTTCTAATGCAGTCCCTTCCTGAAGGGTCACGGAGTTGGTCCCCGCCCCCTCCGGCTCCTGGTGCGATGGACTATGAGCTCTGGGGCGGGTCTCTGGTTGGTTTCACTTCTTAGATTGTTACTCTCGCTCTAATTTTTGCTTGTTTGTTTGTTTTGTTATCGGTCTCCCTGACTTAGGTGAGGGGAAGGTACCATTTGCTCTTAGGTGTCTTTGGTTAGGGAGGGTTGGCTGGCTGTTAACGATCGGTCGGTCAGCCCTTTGGTTCACCCAGCTGTCCCAGGTTCCTCATTCCACCGGCAGGGGAGTCTCGTAGTTTCTTAGGAACCTGCCTCACTGTGCTGGGTTTTCAGAGCTTCTTGAATTTTGGATTGATGTCTTTCGTTAATATTGGAAAGCTCATGGCCATTATCCATTCTGATGTTGCCTCTGCTCCATGGCCTCTCGCGTCTTCATCTGAAATGCAATGCGTGTATTTTAGATACTGTACCCGACACACCCCTGACACCTGTGTTTCCCATCTCAGCATCTGTTTATTTTCCTGTGGATTGGCCTCCGTTTCATTAATTCTACCTTTTGCTCTGTCTGATCTAAATGTAACCCGTGTAATGTGTTATGAACTTTAGATACTATGTTTTATGGCTTTAGAATTTTCATTTGATTTTTTTCCCTACTAAATTTTTCCATCTAACGTTCTATTCTATCTCTCTATTTTTCCATCTTTTCCTTTCTCTGCCTTTTTCTCTTTATTCTAAAGTGATATTGTAAGTAAATTTATTTGCTATTCTTGTCAGCTAACTGCAGTATCCCGGTCACCCGTGGGCCTCTTTCTATTGGCTTCTTTTCCTCTTCGACTGGGCCACTGGTTCGGGTTTGTGCTGTGCTCAGTGACTTGTGCTTGACGGCAGGACTGTGTGTATGTGACAAGCCCCAGGTGGCCCTTCTTTCAGGTGACGTGTCCTTCCCCTCGTAGGTAGAGCATGGGGCGACCTCCTTCCCCTGCAGAGGCTGCGTTGCGTCTCGGCTGTGGGCCGCCCTGGTGGGTCTCCACCTGCTTTAGCCGGCCTCTGAGTCCCTGGGGTTTTCAGCACAGTCTGCAGTGTGGCCCTTCTCCCCGCCTTTTTCCAACACTCTCCGTTATCCCCGGAGACGGGTGAGAGCTCCGCTCTGCTTTACGGAGGTTTTCACTTCGACTCCACCGAAGCCATCCCGTATCTGAAAAGCCTTTACAAGACAGACACGCAACGTTGCAATTTCCCATTTTAGACAGGATTCGTTGCTTCACAGTGGAAGTTATTTAAATAAAAAAATCACCTCTAGGGTAATTAATTATCACTTCGTTTACAAAATTTTCCTCCGTACACAAGTTTTCAGGTATGGTGTACTTTTAATTAGGCCGAAAAGTAGTCTATGTTAATAAAGCATCAGAGTTGCAAGACTTTAAAATGCAAATGCATTGCCTCTTAGTAACATAGCAGCTTAAAGTAGCTGCTAATAAATAGTTCATAGCTGAAACTTATTTACAGTTACCAGTATGTATTTGCATCTGTGGGTCTAATGCACTACTTTCTCATTACCCAGTTGTTGAACGTGGTCCTCTCTGGAAAGTTTTTCCATCAGCACCGATTCTGTGGTGAACAAATTTGTACAGTATCATTTTTAAAATAGTTTTGAGTTTGTGATATCATCTTCAAATAGTTATAAGATTGTGTTAAATTTAGGTGATTAAGTGTCTTTGTGACTCATTATCAAACCATGTGACATTATAGGTTTAAAAACACCGTCAGGAAATACACCAAGGTGTCAGCGATGTCGTGTCTGTGGGGTTGGATTACCACCGAATTCCTCCGTCCTTCCTTCATCTCTGCCTCCTTCCCTCCGTTCCCAGACATCGCTGCGGTTTTCAGACTTACAAAATGGACTGTGTTACAGGGAGAAAACCCAGACCTAGTCGGATTAAAAGCTCAGCCTCCCTGAGGTGGTGGCAAGTCTCTGTACGGTTGTGGTGGGGAGGCAGAGCAAGGTGATTTCCAAGCCCCACCCCCACCCCTGTTTGGGAGACCCTGAACCGTTCACAATCTAACCTGCCACCCAGAGGCACCTCTCAGGGCTATGGCGGAGGGAGCCAGACACCCGCCGCGTGCGTCTGTGCGTGCCTGGCCCCCAGCTTGACACTCTGTTCCTTGCAGGCTCTACGAGAACAAGGGCGAGGCCGACTTCAGGGAGTCGCTCCTGCAGCTGTTCCGGTCCATCAGCACCATGATGAGCAGCATGTCCGACCAGACCGTCCGGGTGAAGGTAGGCCCTCCTCGCGCCCTGGCTGTGCCCAAGGCCGCAGGTGGCCGCAGGGCTCCGTGGCCGCTGGGAGAGAGCCACACTGCACATCCCGCGCTGCCCTCACGTGGGTGTCAGGCCGCAGATCGGCTTTGCGGGGAACCTGGCTGTGCTCGCTGCGTGGGGCAAGGGCGCCGTCCGCCCTCTGCAGGGCTCTGGGCTCTGGATGTTGCTGCGGCTCTGCCGTGTGGCCCCAGAGTTTCTGAACTCACTCTCTGTGCCTGTGGGGAAGCCGGCGGGACTAGCGTGGTCAGGTTGCTCACAATCTGGGCAGCTGTGCCCCCAGCCTCTGTCAGGCCTCAGGCTCAGCCCAGCACACGGTGTCATGTCTCTGTCCCTCAGTGCACCTTCCACCCGCGCAGGAGAGCGAGGTATCCGCACTCCCACACTCCCACTCGTCTCACCCCTGGGACGGCCCGTTCCCACCCTGCTGCCCTGGGGAGGAAGGATGCCTCAAATCTCCCGGGGCCTGTGCGTTCTTCGGGGCCTCTCCCCTGGGGTGGCTGTGCCAGTGCGCCGCCCTTGCTGCGGGCCGACGCCCTGCGGGAGGGGTGTGCAGACTGGGCGGCGCGCAGGGTGCTGCCCCTCTGATGCCCTCAGAGGAGGAGGGTCCTCCACGAGAGAACCCGGCTGCTGCCCCTGGTGTCTCACGCAGCCACCCTCGTCCCTACCTCCCCCTCTCAGTGTTCTTTCAGGGTGTCATTGCAGAAGGCGCCCCATTGTCTTACAAATGTTGTGGGAAAGCACTCACCCAGCTTGAAAGCTGACCTCTCTGGAGCAGGGATGCCCAGGTGTGTCTGTCTCCTGGTCGCTGGGACCGGGCACTGTACTATGGAACGTGAATCGCGTCTCTTGACACCTCGTTCCCCTCCGAGCTGGTGAGCGCTTGGCAGAGCCGCTGCCCCCCCAGTGTGGTCTCCGACCCTCCTGTGGGTGTGTCGGAAAGACTGGTGATCTGCGGGCGAAGCTCCAGGGGGCGAAGCGTAGCCAACCTCGAGGCCCTCGCCCTGTGGCCCAAAGCCACCTGGTTGTTCCAAGGTTAAAGTCAGCAGTGTGCTCAGGGCCTTTGCTTCTAAGTCCTGCGGCATTTTAGGAAAACACATGTGGGAAGAGTCGGAACAGACAGAAATCACAGGAAGTTTTGAGCCCAGAAGTAATTTTAGATTTTTAAATATATTCTCATATCATGAGATTTGGTTGGGCTTGGCTTGGGTCGCCCCACTTCCCCTCATGTCAATTCTTCCCATGGGTGGCTCTCTGTAAGACATGAGTGACTCCGGTGACATCGGTGCTTCATTGCCACCTGCACACCTGTGACGCAGGTGTTTTATTGGGAACGTTGCCTCCTCGCTGCCCATTTTGTATTTTGTTTTCTTAAAATCGGTGAACTATCCACAGCCAAGATGAGGGTTTCCATCGTGGGTCCCTGGTTTTTGTGGGGTTGAAATGGACACACACCTGCGAATCATGTTACTGAGAAAAGGAACAGACTGGCGTATCTTAGGGGCGAAGCGTTGTCCCCAGAGGGTGGCCCTTGTGGCTGTGTGGGTGGTCGGAGCTGATCTGTGTGCCCTCATTTGAGGCGGCAGCAGGCTCTCCCACCTTCTTGGCTGTATCTGGGGTGCTCTTTGAGGGATGGGGGTGGCCGCCAGGTCCCAGAGAGCCAGGCCTGTCGTCAGTCACCTCCTCCAAGAGGAAGCCACACCACACCAGGTTTGCTTCCGCGGCTGCGCCTCACGCGTGGGTGAAGGGGGAGCCAAGAGGAGGTTCAGCTGATCGTTCGCGTCGGCACACACAGGGCGCCAAACTCGAGTTAGTGTGGCGGCTTTCCGTGGGCCCTGGTGACAACATTTCACCAGTTGTCTGACGCGAGTGAGCAGACACACCCGTCGAGAGTGCCAGCCTGCGGGCGGGGAGCCGCTGTGACCGTGGGGAGTGCCACCCTCGCTCAGCCAGGACAGAGCGGAGCAGCGATTTCCCTCTCTGCCGGCGGGTTCACGACCACACTCTTCCGTTCCCCTCCCTGGAGCGCGTTGCTAAGTGCCAGCCGTCCTGTGACAGTCAGGGACCAGGCTGTGCCTGTTGCCCCCTCCGTGGACGGCACCCCTGGGCCGGATGTGGGGACATAAATGGCACCCCTTGCGGAGCTTTGCAGCCGAGTGGACACGGTCTGTGTTGGCCTGTGAAGCAGGTGCCAAGGTGAGACTGTGTCCTGTTAGACCAGGTGAGTCTCAAGAGGGTGTGGGGGAGTCAGGGGGGCTGGTCCCGGAACCTTCCTGGGGTCCGCGTCTTGGGGACGGCCCCACGGTGCTGGCGGCAGGTGGCTGTTTCTGGACGGCCTGTGTCTTGTAAAGATGGACGTGGGGCCTCTGGGGCTTTGCAGTCAGAACTGTCACAGGCAGAACTGTCGCTGAAAGCTACGAAGTCACCGCCACCACATGGGGTGACCCCACAGACACCGTCCAGTGACGTAAACGGAGTCTCTGTAAACGGGATTCCCCACCTGGGCAAAGAATTCCGGAGTTTTGTGTGGAGGGAAACTGCAGCCGTGGTCTTCAGTAAGAGGTCGGCTCTTGGTGTGTGTGTGTGCGCATGTGCACACACGTGTGTGTGTGTGTGTGCACATTCTCACCTGTGCTCTGTGTGATGCGCTGGGCAGTTTTTGTTCTATTCTAAGCATCTTGTGGTCTATTCTGAATGACCGTGTTTCACTGGAAAATTGCTGGCGGACGGGCACTCCGTTTGCTCCCTGACAGCGAACGTGCCTTGGCCCGCATTTGAGAGTCACCTTGGCTGTCTTGCACGCCTTACATCTCCTCGCCCTGCCCCTCCAGTCCCGTTGGGTGGGTCGATGGCGTGTACTTCCTGTGTCCGTCCGTTGCCTTGTAAAGCCCTGGGCCCCTGGCACTCAGAGCTCGCCCCCGCGGGCCAGTGGATCGGGCCGGGGAGAAGCTTGACTGAATTTGAGGACCCCTCCCTCCACCCCTGCAGCTGAGCTTGGCACCCAGATGGTGAGGGTTTGGTCTCCTTCCGGGGGGCGTCCTGGGGGGCTGGCCTTCCTGTCACTCCCACTCTCGTGGTGCCACTTCTGTCTCGTCGTCACCGGAAGGGCCTGTGTTGGAAACGAGCTGTATTGTAATCACAAAAATGCAGCTGTCGGCTGAGTTTTGCCCACTGAGAAGTGCGACTTTTATTTCCATAAAAATAATATCCTGACTTGAAATGATACTATACTTATTTGCCTTACATTGTATCCCAAATTCTTCCTCGCCAGTTTTCATTGCTTTTTGACTCTTTCTAAGCTACCATCTGGAGCACCGCCCCTCCCAGATCTGTGAGTTGAGAACTCTCTTTCTGTCCTTAGGAAGAACAGGCTGAATGTATTAGGGACAATGACAAACAAGGATCTGAAATCCACAAGGGTCTCCGTGTGGGTGGGGGAATCAGGTGTCACGGGTGACTTCTGACCGAACTGGTGGGCTCGCCCAAGGCTGAGTCCCTGCCCCCAGGCCTGCTGCCCCCTCTCGCGGCTGTCCTCGGGGTCCTGGGGCCGGGAGCCCTGTCCGGGCCTCAGACGCAACAGGTGTTACTATGTGTCTGCCCTCAGTTTTTAATACAATAGGGAGTCTCGTTAGAGGAGTGAAAGTCCCACAGATTTAATTAAGAAACAGGAGGAATTCTTGTCATCCCCCCAGGGGTGGCGTGGTTTGCGTTTTGTCTGTACAAGTGTCTCCTGTGTGTGTGAGACACACAGGTGCGTGGTGACTGGGTGCCGATGTTCGCGTGTGCGTGTAGACGGACGTGCGTTCACCTCAGTGTACTTCAGCAACTTTGATTTTCCACGTGTATGTTCCTCTGCCCCTTAGCATTTTCCAGAATGTCGTGCGTAAGGTCACCTACCACCTCATGGCCGTTATCCCACCTCATGTAGCATGTTTTCGGTTTCCGGGCACCAAGACCTTGTCCTGTTTTCATTTCCCTGAGCCTCCGTGGCTGAGCCCTCTCCGTGTGGCGGGCCCTGGTCGGCTGGGGGTGTCGGCTGGCAGGGGCTCTGAAGTGCTGCGAAGGTCATGTCCAGGGCTGTGAGCCTCCCCCCGGATCAGGGATCCCCTCTGGGTGTTGAGCTCGATGCGACCTCCTGGCCTTGGAGCCACAGAGCCCTAGTTCTGTCTGCGATGCCGTTCTGCTCTACGCTGAGTGCGACTCAGGGAGGCGGCTGCAGCCTTGTGTGGCTGGGGAGCTGGGCCGCCCCCGGAAGCCATCTCTCTGCTCACATCACCTTGACCTCCCCTGGCGTGGGACCAGCGGCTGAGTCAGGCTGGGTGACAGTGGCCCTGCAGAGCCCCCCGCCTTCAGCCCTGACCACGGGGCACGGAAGAGGCCAGCCCCGTGGGGTGGCGGAGCCACGAAGGCGAATGGAGGGCGAGCAGCCCAGCACTTCCTTCACTTCCTGTCTCCCTCCTCTTTCCCAGGTGGTTGGGGTGCTGTCCATGTGCTCACGGCCCCTGGGATGACTCTGACACCGGCCAGGGCTGTGCTGGCCGGCCTCTCCTCCCCCAAGCGGACAAGGATGAGGTGGCGGGGTGGCCGTCTTCCAGGCCGTGGCGTCTGTGAGCGGGAGGCTTGTCCAACCAGAACATCTGACAGCTGAGCGGGCTGGCAGCTTGGGCGAGAATCAGCAACCAGCCAGTCCTTCTGGAGAGTTCTTCCGCTGACACGGGGAGGAGAGGACGGGCCAGGCTTCAGGAAGCGAAGGGACCGAGCCAAGCTCGGAAGGGGTGACAGTCCCCTGGGAGTGCTGGGATAAATGCCACAGCTCAGTAGCTTCTTCCAGACACGCGTTACCGAAGCAGCTGCTTCGGGGGGTGCGTGTCCTCGTGGGCCTGGGGCTGGGGTCAGGGAGCACGGCAGATGGGGGCATGTAAAGGGCAGACGTTTACTTGTCCTGGTTCCGGAGGCTGGGG